TACGAAAAAAATCGGGTTTTTTGCTGTTTTTTTTTACAGTATTTTAGGTTTTTCTCCCGCTTGGAAAAGTATTGGAGAAAAAGTAAATAGTGCATTGGATAGAACTCGTTGAGCTCTATCTTGGTCCGCAAAGTTTAGTCTTTGGTCCCAACTGTGAGCGAATCCAGTTGCGGAATATGCGAATCCAGACCCAAGATATCCTACGTTTCTTCTCGTTGTCTTCTCTTTCTTTCTCTTCTATGTGTTTTGTTTTCGTTGTCTGGTCATTTTATACTGCATAAAAGAGACTGCTTTCTAATATTTCTTTAGTGATTTATCATTATCAACTATTGGTCTTGATTCATTACAAATTGGAAAATTATTATGTATTTTATATCAATCATGGGATTGAAATATCCAAGAATGGACAATTACTACTGACAAGAACGATCAAATAAAATTACTTAATTTAGGTAAAGAATTTTTAGCTGTGGGAACATCAAAAAAATAATACGTTTAATGAGTTTATCAAGTATTCAACAATGTTTTATTCATTCTGAAGATCCAATTATTTTTATGTCTACTTATCAAAGTTAATTATTGATTATTTATCATTCAACATAAAATTTCTTATTTTTTATCAGATAGATAAATTTTCATTTTCGTTTTTCATTTAGGTCTTCTAAAGAAACAAGCAATATCATATGTACTTTTAGATCTGGAAAATGATCATTATTTCATAGGTCCATTACCATTAACACTAATGGCAAAGCTAATTTGGATGAGTTTTGGTTTGTATGTCAGATTTTTTTAATTCTAATTTTTGTTTAATTTTTCTGATAATGAAAAATGTTTTTATTTGGAAAAATATAGTCGTTTAAATATGCTTAGATGGACAAAAGGAAATAAATTTGAACCATTATTAATCGTTAATCTCAAATAAGAACTTTCTTTCATTTGATAAATATTTCAAAAAATAATTTTTATTGTTTTTAATTAAAGTTGACATGAATTGAAGTTTTTTTGAAGATTTACAGTAAAAGAAAATAATTGCGACTTTTTGGACAATCAAGTAATAAATATAATATTATGAAATAAGAAATAAGTATGCTTTTCTTGTCTTTTCTTTTTAAATTAAAAAAACTCAACAATTATTACAACAAACGAACAATGAAATTGAAAACAAGGAAGAAGAATATTCGAAAGTTTCGAATAACGTGGAATTAAAGGCATCAAATTTTGAAGTTTAGGGATATAAGCAAAAGAAAATAAAAGGCAACTTGGTTCGTCTGTGCTAGGAACGAGGTGTGGATGTGAGTCCTCAAATCCACACTAATATCGTCACCTACACTCTACACCTCCATCCACATCGACCCATACCCAATATAATTAACTTACTTTTTTCTTATATTTTCCTAATGAAATATAATGTATATTAAGAAAATATGAATATATTTTTTCACAGTTATTCAAATTGCAGCAACATCATTGATAATTAGAAACAAAAAAACAACAGATAATGAAAAAAATAATCAATAAAGTCAACATTGACTAGTCTGAAAAAATAAGATGCTATACGGAACTATTTTTGCAGCGAAAGCGAAACCTTCTTTTTGAGGTTTCGTAAAAACTCAAGATACGTCCAAAATGATCGTCTGAACTCTAGAAGTCATTTTTTAAGATTTCAAAGATTCCATGCGAAACCATTTTTGGTTCAGTATAGTACCTTATTTTGTTTGAGAGTAGATAGACATTATTACTTAACAGTCTATAAAAATAAAACGATCATTATGAGAATTATTTCAATTGTTTCTGAATTAAATGATTCTGTTTAATTTTTCATTTATGAGTATCAATTGTTTAATTAAATCAGTTTGTTATTCAAGAAATTCATTTTGATTCTGGTTCATATTGATTTGTTGTTATTTTATTTCCGTTAACATAGTGGGTATTGATAATTTCTTATGGGCTTGACGACGAATATCATTATCCTATATAAGAAAATTTGAATAATTACTCAAAAGACAAAGCAAAACTTTATCTTCTTCAGAATCTACGTAGTATATTTACCAATGGATACTCATCGAGAGTTATTCACATGTTATTACTATCGTTATCTTTATCTTGACCAGATTAATGATAATTCATTGGGTCAAAAAAATTCTTGTAATATTAGTGTATTTCGATCGTTTATATATCTCATCAATGCAGGTGAAACGATGTGGTGGACAGTGTGTTAATGCATACATTTTTTCACAAGCGAAAGTGAGACATTGTATATGTTTGTATCTAAAACAGCATACAGAAAATAAATAAATTCTAAATAATATTAATACTGGTCGTCAGAAATGAGTCAAACGCGTGAAGTGAACCAAAATCGACCTCATGGTCCATGGTTTACTCGGGTAAGCTTCAATGTGAAGAGTATCGTTTACCATAATTTGCTTTTGATTATTTTTCTCTTCTTCTCTTTTCTTCTCATCTTGATGATTAGTTCAAAATGAAATGACATTGATTGCATGTGCTGATATTTCCAGTAACGGAAATGCACGATAGTTAGTAAAAGAGCTAGATGCTACTACAGATAATATTTCTAAGGTATCATCTAATTTCTCGAACTAGCTAATTTAGTTACGATACTATTTCAATAACATCGGATTTTGTTATCGACTGTAATACTTGTTGTTCAGCAAAGGAACTTCTTCGTTTTGGAATGTTTAATTTTGGAAAAACTCAATTAGTTTTCTGATTTTATTATACTAGTATATTTTAAAAACTTGCAAAAGAACAAAATAAATGATTTATATTACACATAAGAGATTTTGTTTTTTTGCTCTTAATACGTTGCACTTTTACCACAAAAAATCGATAGTCAACAAGAAGCTGACAAAAATCAAAATCAAAAGGCTTCAGTTGAAAAATTTGTTAATTTGGAATGGGGCTACTACATCGTCCTTACTGATAATAGGGAGGGTGTAGGATTTCCTTTTAGTGCGAAGAACATTTCCACTCGCACCTATACCCACAGCCACTCACACCCAAATTACCAACTAGCTTACAATTTGGCACCTCAATATTTCGTTAGTGATATCTTCCATCACAGTTGTACCATTTGATTCATCCCTCTAAATTCATTTCGACACATTATCTATTTCTATTTACTGCATTGTTATAGTGCTATGGTTCGAAAATGTTACATTGTTTACTATTAGGAATATGAGCCATATTAAATTTATAGCTATTACTTTGATGATGCGACAGCTTTCATTTTTGATACTCAATAGATATATCTACTGTCTATCTTCTTGTATGTTAATTCGTTTATTTTATTATTTTATAATGATGTTCTCATATGGTGTGGGTGTCGGTGAAGAGCATTTCAATACCCAAGTCGGCACCCAAATCCACACCTTACTTCATCAACAACAAATCAGAGAACGCGAAGAAAACATCTTTCCATGACGAGCGAATATAAAAATAATCTCCTTGTGTCACATCTTGTGCTTCACTAATTTCAAACATTCATCCTTTTCTGTGCAAAACAAAACACGGAGCGAGTTTTGCCATGCGCCAAAATTACGATAAGGAAAGCTTTTCTTTTTTCTTTTTTACAAACTTATTTCTTTTTGTCAACAGATACTGCAATGATATTGCTTTGAATAATCTCGTGTAGTTGTCCTTTTTTCCTTTTGTAAAAAGACGGAAGAGACTGTCGTTCAGTATTGCAACTAAGCCGATTCACAATTCTGCATACAAACAAGGTGCATTGCCATATATTGCAATAAAGCAAATAACCAGTATGTCAATATTCAAACGAGGAGAGAAACCAGCAATGTGGCATCCTTTTGAATGTATTCCACTCAAATATACTGTTAGAAAGATTTTTTCGCCCAACAGCAAAGTAACCCATGCGTCAACAGCTCTACCGCCTATTGCAAACAACAAGAATATCACTTTAGCAATAACACGAGTATATGCTTTGGATTTTTGGTCTCCACATCTTGGACATCATCCTTATGATAATTACCATCGAGGAATTCAAAGAAAAAGTGTCAATTTCATTGATTTCAATCTACAAACAGATGACAAAGGAATAGACAGACAAATTATTAATACTAATAAAACCAGTTCAAGCAAAAACAAACAAATATTACAGAATCACTTACAAGACTGAAAAGTTAACATATAAATAAAATAAACCTCAAAATGACAAGGACACACAGGAACAATTGACATCACATGGAAAGAAATAAAAAATTCGCCACAAACGATAAAGTACTACTAAACAAGTGAAGAGAAAATAAAAATAAAAGAGTATACGACGAAACCAGTGTATCATGTTTAGATTATATATATACCCTTTGACGCACTTCTTAGAGAAAGACTATAGCATTCTCCATCAGTCTGCTATGGTGAGATCTTAAGCAGACTTGCACTCAATGATGATGATTATAAAACCGAATAGCCTAAACTTAGATTTCGGTCAATAAAGTAGAAATGGTACGGGTGGGTATTGGGCAGAGATAGATGTGGGAGAGAGTGACGGAGCGGGGTGGATGTAGGTGTGAGGTTAAGGTTGTGCGAATGACGAGAGTATATAAATTTAGGTCTTGGCAATGATGTGAGTGTCTCATGTTCACAACTTTTAGCAACGCGCAGTTCCACACAAATACTCATCTGCATCCATCTCCACATATCCTGCCGAAACCTACACATTACACACTACAACCACACTCACACCGACATTCCTATCCATACTCACACTCAAAAACCACCATCTCTCCCCCCCCCCCTATCCTTGAAAAATATATCTAATTGTTTCTCCAATGATGTCCTATTCATGACATAGAACGATTCAAGATGTCATAAGACATTTTCAGATGGTATTTGATATTCTCAATTAAATAATATTTTCACCAAAATCTTTTTCATAGTTATATTGTGCTAGACTTCTTTATTTTCTGAAGTCATCAACAATTCGTCGTGTTTCTGTTTAAACCTATTTTCTTCATGATATTTTCTCGTTTGCACATCGAATTTGCTTTCGGAATGACCTCTCTCTGAATTCCATATCAATTGCATAATTACTGTATGTCCTAAGTTTTCCGTCCTATTGGGTGTGGCTGTGGGTGTGGGTGGCTGGATGTGAGGTTCGTGTGGCTCTTAACTTAAACTCACAATCACACCCGCACCCACACCCCACACCCACACCCACACCCATACCCACACCCACACCCACCCCACACCCTGGTTGCAGGCACTAGAGCCCCAGTTGCCTTCGTTCCATTCCAACACTTACACTGAAACTCTGCAGCCTCACTAGCAGAATAGTTAATAAAATTTTAGAAGATGTATTAACTTAACACAGAAAAAATAGAAAACTTCATTTAGCGCGGAAGTGTCGCGCGCGGTGGTGTCACTGCGCGGAAGTGTCGTGCGCGGAAATGTCGGCGCGGAAATGTCGCGCGCGGAAATGTCGTGTAATCCTGATGAGTAGTTTTTGCCATAGGATAAAAGTGATATCTCGTATTTCAGTGACTAGGGATAGCTTTCAAGAGTAGCTGAGATATTTCTCTTTACGAATAGAAACCTGAAAATGGTAACTCTCATAAGAAAAAAAGATAACCAATTAGATTTACTCAAAAACTGATATTATATGAAATAATTTTACACAAGCGAGTTTGGAACACATGGTTAGAAATCAGAACCTTGAATAGTAACTTACGACACCGTTGATTCACTCGAAATTGCTGATCAGGACACGTACAAATAACTGTTCCACTTGAGGTATCATAACAATCATAGCCATTGGCTGATATAAAATGACCACCGAGCTCGCATATTGAGCAGTCTTTTTATATAGAATAGGAAGCTTATTGAAGATCGTAGTACATATCTTACTTACCAAATGTGGTTGCTGTCGTAATAAGTGCAAAGAAAACGATGGCAAAAACCAGAGCCATCACTCCATTGATCAAAAAGCGTCTTTTTTACGGCACAAATAAGTGTGAGTCGCAGCTGCAAAGTTTCCCTATTGTGCTTCTTCTTCAGACTTATCTCACAGTGATAAGCGAGTGTAGATTGCCACTATGTGTGCGACTAGTTTCACCGTATCTATGACAGATTTCATCGATATTCTCTGAATCGGTTTGAATCTAGCATATCGTATAGAGCATATTCGATTTCGCGAGACTTGATTCGAGCATGGGTGTGGGATGCTCTTCTCTTTTTTTCACCCATACCCTTGACAGGCAAAATGTAACTGAAAAAATGAAGGTGAAATTAATATATATTTGAATAACAACAGTGACTTACACAGCTTTATCCAATATTAAATTTTCTCATCGTCTTTTAGCTACAAGTGATGATTCGACTTTAGTGACAACAACAAAATTCCTTCATCGTTCAAAAACACTTTTAATATTAATGAATTTTAACTAACAGATAAGTGTATCCAAATTATTGTGGAACCTATGATGATGTTTCATTCGATTTGACATTTTGCATTGCATGACTGACATGCGTTACGTCATATTTATCTCCAGTATTGCTGTTCTTCTCAGTGGACGATACGATATTCAAGATCATTTTATTTCAATTCTTCGTACATCACTAATAAAAGTAGTTAATATTCAAAAACTCATACATAATCTATGGTGGTGCTTATAATTTCCTTTTTCTCGCTGTAATTGATTAAAATTGACATCTAAAATTCTAATATAAATCAAAATTTTTTATTAATTATTAGATAAAAAATATTAGATGCCTTCTAGAATCTGCTAATCCTACTGCAAGATCAGACTTGCTATCGAATAATTTGTCATTTGTGTTTAAAAAAAACAGACTTTCATTTTATTGACTCATATTTGAACCGATTCAAGACTAACATCTTCTCTAAATCTGATGGTTTTCTTATCGAAGTGCCATCGCTAAGATTTAGAGTAGTAGTTGATTGAAATCTGCAATGACGCGATGGCCGAGCGGGTTAAGGCGTTAGACTGCTAATCTAATGGACTCTGCTCGCCTGAGAAACCCTCTTCATGAATTATATTGACTCCATTGTTTTCATTCTAAGTGAGAAAACATTATGATGTAATATTGGACCGACGAGTGTTCAAATCTTACTCTGGTCGCTATTATTTTTTTTTTTTCTGCTAACGGTACGATAGTTATATTTGTTTAGCATTTTGATGTTCTATCGTGACATTAGAAGATCCAATAGTGACACCGGATTTCACAGTGTTGAAGAAAGAGATATCAGAACTGGTCAAAATTAGCAGTTTTTTCTGTATTTCGTTGATTCTGATACGTTTTTCTTTCATATGCTGAGATTTGGTAGCATCATTGGATTCGTTAATCGAAATTAACTCTGTAGCAATTGAAGAACAGGTAGCAATCGGAAGCTTTAAATATCAAGAATCACTCGTCTTGGGCATAAATTTTCATGATTTTAGAAAAATCGGGTGCTATACAATGATCGAACAAAGCACCGACCTCAACTGTAGGAATTACCAGTAATAATTCGATTGCTTTCTAGAGAGAAAGAGAGAGAGAGAGAGGAAGCGCAGATGCTATCCTCTACGTTAATCACTGTTGAATTTCTCTTTTCATGAATGTCAACCAGTTGCGACTATTTAATATCGGTTAAAATCAGAATGAATGCATCACTAGGCGGATGCCAGTCACATTTATCGGCTCTCTTGCACAATGGAATGTGGCTGTACGAATTTTCCAAATATCGACATTGCAGAATATCAAGGGTACTTATTTTTTTGGCATATCTCTACAAAACATGATGTTTTTTTTTGGAACCAAAAATAAAAAAAACCTATGTACATGCAATATATATTTATATCATATCTTCTATTCAATCAATGAAATAGATTGTATTATTAATGACATTTAATAAATAAGGATAAATAAAAATTTCATAGGTATATTAATGATTGGACATGTTACAATCATGACTCTCTTCAACAAGATTAGATAGAATTGAATCTGATTTCAAAATTAATATTGCCTGATGTTCGAAGGTCTGATACAACGATACTCATTTTTATTTTTAAACGTATCAGTATTGCAGATAAAAAACAAGGTCCAAAAAAAAATATATATTCTGTTGACTTATCATTCTTGTTTTTCAAATTGCAAACTACCTCATATTACTCGTGTGTGAGAGAACAAAATACGACCATTCTTGATAGAATAGGATAGGAGAAAGGGTATGACATAATAAGCAAATAAGAGATAGATCTATCCTTGATATAGATGCCATCATCTTCAAACAATCCCAATCCTTTATTACAAGTTAATCACTTCTCCCGCTTTTTTCATTGGTAAGTAGTATTTTATCATTTTGGTTTTGATCATTAGTATTAATTTTTGTTGTATAGTTGGCTATCTCCTTTAATGACGAAAAGTCGCAAACAAGGAACACTTCATCTTGATGATCTTTATGGCGTTCCTGATTATCTTAAATCAACACTATTGACGAATAAATTGGAAGAAAATTGGCTAGACGAAATAAAACGATGTCCACGAAATCCGAATCTAATTCGAGCTACATTACGTACTATGGGATGGAAATTGATACTTCTCGGTCTTTTATTAATTTCTCTTGTGAGCAAACATAATAAAATTTGAATTCACATTGATCGTGCTATTGTTGATTTAGCACATAATCGATATAAATAGCAAATGTTTTCATTTTAATTTCATTCTTTTTTTTTAAAAAGGAATCATTAAATATTATTCAACCATTATTACTTCTCTATTTCATAAAGTTTTTCGAGCCATGTTCAACAATGTTTTCTTGGCAAGCTTGGTTATCAGCTTCGGCTGTTATTATGACACTATTTATGTATAAACCTAATCTCTCATCAAATAATATAGATTTCTGAATATCATTTGAATATTGATCATTCTCGATTTTTATAGTATATTTATCGTGTTGTGATGTGTGGTGTACAAATGAGAGTGGCTTACAGTTGTTTAATCTTTCGAAAAGTGAATGAAAAATAAATAATGATATAGTTTTAATTATTCTTTTCAAAAAAGGTACTTCGTTTATCAAGTCATGCGGTGAATAACTTCAGTTCTAGTGAAATTACGAATTTATTAGCAAATGATGTCAATAAAGTAGAACTGGTTCACTATTTTTTAAACTATTTATGGGTATGTTGTTAAGAGAATCTAAAATAAATGATTACATATTTTTTAAAAACGACGATATGAATCAACTTTTGAAAAATGTTGACTAGTACGATTTTTGTTTTTGTTCAGGTTGCTCCACTACAAATCATTGCAGTTGTTTTTCTATTGTGGCATTTTGTTAACTATGTTACTTTTATTGCTATTGGATATATGTTATTACTCGTATTGATTCAACCATTATTCAGTCGTTTGTTTCTTTATTTACGGTTTGTCTTGTTGATCTTTATATTCTTATCATTTGAATGATAGAATTTCATAATTTCTAGTACCGAAGTTTTGAAAATAATTGATGAACGTGTTAAAATCATATCTGAGATTATTAAATCAATGCGAATTGTAAAAATGTATTGTTGGGAGTCAGCATTTAAAAGAAAAATTCGTCATGTAAGAACGTAAGTGTATCATTCTAATATGACTTATACTTGAAATAAATATCGATGTATTATTTAGACGTGAAATGATTAAAACTACTATATTTAGAATGTGTACCTGTATTGAAATGATTTTATCACAGAATTACGTCAGTATAACATTTTTAATGATGTATGGAACAATGTGGTTATTTGATATGAAATTTGATACACGTGTTTTTACTCTTTCATATGTATTACTTAGTTATACACATCAATCTTGCGTTAATTATTTTAACTTTGCTATTCGTGATCTTCTTAATTATGTGGTTGCTCAAAAACGAATCCGAGTTCGTTTGAATAGATTGTTCTTTTATTTTTGTTTTCGATTGCCATGTTTTGAAATGAAAATTTTCTATAGATATTTCTTTTATTTGATGAATCTGAACGAGACATTCGATTGTTATCAACATCTTTTAATAATATCGTAGAAATAGATAAAATTGATGAAAATTTAGTAAAACAAACATCTGAAGTTATATGCAATTTAAAACAAGCTCAATGGGAAAAAGTAAATGTTCTTATGTTTCTATTGACTAAAATAATAATTAATTATTATTATTTTAGAATGAAAAATTTTCATTAAAAAATATTATATTTGATGCTCATCCAGGTGATTTAATCTGTATTATTGGACCTGTTGGATTTGGAAAAGTTTGTTTCGTTTCTGCTCAATTTGAATATATTTATGCTTTCGGATTTCATTTATTTAGAGTTCACTTTTACAAACATTAACAGGTGAAATAACTTATTTTGATGGAAAGATTCGATTATATGGATCATTTTGTTATGTACCACAAGAATCATGTAAATAGATTATTATTGAAAACTCATTCAAAATTTACTTATGATATTAATAGGGATATTCTCATCATCAGTAAAGAATAATATTCTTTTTGGTAAAAAATATAATTCTAAGTTATTTCAACGCGTTGCTCGTGCAACTGCTCTCGATACAGTACGTCAATTTTATTCTTTATCAGAGTTAGTTTTTTGAATAGATTCTTTTAGCATAGACATTTGTAAAAATATTGATCGTTTCAGCTGACTATGAATTAAAATTAATTAAAAAGTAACTAGCGAATATCTTTCAATTCATATGAGAAGAAAACTCGAAAAATTTTATGGTAGATTTCTTATATATATTCGTACATTATCACATCGCTAACAAAAAGTAAATTTCCTTTTTTTTTTTTGAAAAAAAAACGATGTGTGCTGAGAAAAAAACTTTGGATAGAGACTTTGTAGCCTCAGAAGTTGCCTAAAGCGTATACATTCTAGTTTTTAAACCTAAAACGCATGAAGTGAAAGTTGATATTCGTTTTTGTGTCCCATTGCTAACGAATGATATTTGTTTATATACAGAATTATATACAATCATGTTTAATTACTAGGATTTTGTTCAATTGTCTCATGGTGAAAATATTCTTGTTGGTGATCAAGGTGTCATGCTATCTGGAGTAAGATATGCTGATTTATTCGAAGAGAAAACAAACTATATCAAATGATCTATTATTATCTTATATATAGGGTCCAAAAGCACGTGTCAATATGGCAAGAGCACTATATCGTGATGCTGATATTTATTTATTAGATGATCCACTTTCAGCTGTTGATGCTAAAGTTTCTAAACATCTGTTTGATAAGTAAAAAGAACTTTTTTTCATCTTCAATATATCAATTAATTTATTTAAAATCAATTAAAAATTATCTTCATGATAAGATTTGTATTTTAGTTACTCATCAAATACAATTTTTACAAGATGCTACTAAAATTATTGTTCTTGATAATGTATGTATATAAATGAAAATGTATGTCGGTTGTTTTTCATATAATTGACTATATATATTATTATAGGATGAAATGGCACAAATGGGAACATATAAAGAATTACTTATACCGTCACCATCATTTGCTCAACTTCTTGAAGATATTAATCAACATGAACAAGAACAACAACAACAACCAGTTTCTTTATTAAATCAACAATCAATGATTGATTCAATAAATTCAGAAAAAGATAGTGTTGACGAAGAAAATATGAATTCATTAACAAAAAAATCTTGAAACAAAACAAGAAGGAACAGTAAAATGGAATGTTTATGTATTATATCTTCGATCTGGTGTTGGTGTCATTTTGGGTTTTCTATTAATTATAATTATATTTACAACACAACAATCAATAGCTATTTTTAGTAATTGGTGGTTAGCAGCATGGAGTAATGATGAAAGTCGTCGTCATTATGAGAATTCAATCAACTGCATGACTGTACAAGATAAGAAAATTGATAGACTATATCGAATGAATGATATTGAATCGAGTACATATCGATATCGACGATTTTATATATTTTGTGGTCAGTTTGTTAATGAAATTTTAATTCTAATTTCAATATTCTTATATTGAATTATAGTTCTCGTATTTATACTTTGCTTTTTGATATTTCTTCGGACTGTTATCAGTCAACTTATATGTTTAAATGCTGGACGAGTACTTCATAATAAGTATGTTATAGTTAAATTTAATCTTCTATTTTTTAAAAACTTTTTCTCATTTTGAGAATGTTTAAACAAATAATTCGATGTCCTATATCATTTTTTGATACAAATTCTGTTGGTAAGTAACTAATTTGAATCTTTATTTAGTATTTCTCACGATTCAAAAAAAAAACTCTGATATTTGTACAATATACAAAAATGTCTAGTAGAAATCATTTTAGTCTTATCCAACAAGTAAATAATTCGAAATATTAACATGATTCACTACAAATAACTAGAACAAAAAGAGGATGATGAAGTTTAAAATAATACATTTCTTTTTTTAATTGTGATAAATTCAATTTAAGAAGATATTTAAAAATTTAGAATTGAATATTACAAATTCGAATTTCTCTTTAATATTTGTTGACAGGACGAATATTGAATCGTTTTACAAGCGATATCGCTGCAATGGATGAGTCTTTACCAATGACTGTGTTCGATTTTCTTGTGGTAAATGTTATTTGTGTTTTTTTAAAAGTCTATGTCAACATATAGACATGACATATTTCTTTTAGTCTTTATCTCAAGTTTTGGATACAATTGTTCTAGTTATATTCCTTAATCCATGGTCATTTATTCCAGCAATAATTGCTGCAAGTGGCATGCTCTTTGTGAGATATCGATTTGCTCCATGTTCCCGTGATTTAAAACGACTTGTAGGAACTACACGAAGTCCGTTGTGTATTCACACTTAACATCAACTATTCATGGACTCAAAGTTATTCGATCTTATCATGCTGAAAATATTTGTTCAGAAGAATTTCATTATCATCTTGATAATAATACACGAGTCAACTATCTGATTGCAACATTAAATAGATGGTCAGCAATGCGTTTCGATTGGGTATCTATAATATTTATTGCCTTAATTATCGTACTTGCCATAATTGTTCGTATAAGTCAACAACAATTTTCAGCTGTAGAAATTGCTCTTACACTTACCTATAGTCTCAATCTAATGGGTCTTTTTCAATGGACCATCAGGTTAGATCTTGAAAATAAAATGTACACATTTGTTTTCGTTCTAGAAAACATTGTTTATTCTAGACAATCAGTTGAAGTTGAAACGCAAATGACATCAGTCGAACGAATACTTGAATATTGTTCACTTGAACAAGAACCATCTAATCAATTGTCATTCAAATATCGATCACCAGCAAATTGGCCATCACAAGGTCGTATTGTTTTTAAAAATGTTTCTATGTCTCATTCAAAAGAATTAAATTCACCATTAATTGGCTCTTCATCATATTTCATTAATAATTGAATCTGGTGAAAAAATAGGTATTATTGGAAGAACAGGTGCTGGTAAAAGTTCATTCATTCAAATTCTTTTTCGAATGGGTACGCTTGTCGATGGTCACATTATTATTAACAATATTGACATAGTAACTATTGAATTAGATGATATTCGACGTCGTATTTCAATTATTCCACAAGATCCTGTTCTTTTTACTGGTACAATGAGAAGTAATCTTGATCCATTTGGTCTTTATTCAGATGCTGAAATATGAAATGCACTTGAACAAGTCTGTCATTATTTAACAAATCATTTGTTTTTGTGTCACTAATTGAATAAATTTGTTTTGTTGATATAGGTACAACTGAAGAAATTAGTAAGAGATATGATGTCGAATGGTCTTCATTCATTAGTAAGTGAAAGTAGATCTAATTTGAGTGTTGGTCAAAAACAATTGATATGTTTAGCAAGAGCGATATTGAAAAAGAGTAAAATTCTTGTAATTGATGAAGCAACTGCTAATGTGGATAATGTGTGAGTGACCAAAAAAACAAGATATTCAGAAAACAAAAAACAACGATTGAAAATTTTGTTTAGAACAAATGAATTGATTCAAAGAGCCATTCGTGATCAATTCAAAGAATGTGCAGTATTGACAGTTGCACATCGTTTGCGTACAGTGATTGATAGTGATCGTATTATGGTATAGAATTTTGATATTGTTTTAGAACTATACACATTTATTTGTTATTATAGGTTCTTAGTAATGGGAAATTGGTCGAGTTTGATTCGCCTCAAGTATTACTTTCAAATGATTACTCTCATTTTAGTTTATTAGTAGAACAGACAGGAGTAGCTGAAGCGGAATATCTTCGAACATTAGCAAACTCTACCTTATCATATACAAGGCGGAAACGAGAAATATCTAATTTAGACGATGAGTCGATATTAGAAACTAATGAAATGGATCCTCTTGTTCCTTCATTGAAATCATTGTAATTCAATGCAATGAAATAATAACATTTTATAGGTATTCGGATTATCTTTATTATAATTAATTTCTACTTCTCAATACAACACTTTGAAAGAGAAAGAAGATTCTAATTTTCTTTTTGGTTAACAATTTCTTTCCATTGTCATGAAGAACGTTGAATCCAATATTAATTTAATAATATAATAAAATCTATTCAACGAGCATAGATGCGAGCAGAAAATAATATTTTCTTCTTCAAACACGTATTTCGTTGTGTATTGTATGACTATATAACAGAAGAAAAAAGGATATTCTGATTTTTTTTTCATATATTCTCTGCTACTTGTTTTCTAATGTTCTTTTCTGAGCAAGCTATCTATATTTCTATTTTTCTGTTCTACTAGTAATCATCTTTCCTACATTTGATCTACTCATACGTATTCAAAGATCATTTATTTGCTTAAAACGAAAAGTACAATAGTAATTAGATCTTATACAATAATATTACTGATAAAATTACCATTAATCAGTATAATTTACAAGATGACATTTACTTTGAACATAACACATAGAAGAATTTTTTTCTAAAGCATTCATCAAGTTCCCGAAGCTTCTTCATATTAGCGTGCAGTTAAAAAACACTAAAGATCATAGTCTATCGATTCAGCTTATGGTCATATGTTTTATACATTCGAATAATTTTTATGATATTCGAAAGATGTTCGAGAAAACCAATACATATTACCAATTATTAACAGCTCAAAAATATATTTTTAGTTGCTCACCAGTATAAATCTTCCAAATATGATTATTTCATGCTGAAACAAGTATTGCTTCGACAAAAAACAACTGATACCTCTATGTGACAAGAAAGAAAAACTTGAATTATCACATTCTGTTCTATTGTACGGTGTTTTTTTCACTTTCTACTTTTTACGTTACAGGTGAGCAGCAATGCTAAAAGCAATTATTTATTTTTTTTTTTATTACGTCTGATGAAGCTATTCACTGCTAACCATCTTGTTATCAAAACGTGTTCACAATTAGATTTATTGTTGGTAAAGAGACCATTCTGATAAAACATTCATGCGATGTAGAACAAAAAAAAAGTGACAAAGAAAAATAATAGACAAACTGAAAATTAATTTTTCAGACTCAAACTTTTCACCTATTCGACTATTCAAAGTATGTCGTATATATATCTGAATACAGAAATTAGCTTGAAGTACTTTGATTTGTAATATGATATCATTAATTCAGTATAAAGAGAATTCTAAGTATTTATAATGCATCAAACAAAATTGTTGTATATAATCGTCAGGATCACACATCTTTTTTCAACAAAGTTCTCTTTATTTACAATTGAATAGAAAAATCTTTCGATATAAGATTTCCTAGCCACCCCGCAAAAAATAATATTTTCAACAATTTGTAACAACGATATAATTAGAAGAATTCTACCTGAAAATCTCGATTTCAATAACGAAAACATTATTGAAACGACTACTTTTCTCAATTGATTTAATAAAAATGACTTCGGCTCCGGTATTTTCTTATTGATATCACCGGAAAAAGAAAGGCTTTCCTTTCAGTTTAAAATCATTTTAAATTTGAATTTTGACCGATTCTATCGTTAACTATTTGCAGATCTTCGGACTAAGAAACGTTTCTTAGACAAGTAAAAATTAGCATAAAATCTTCAAAATTTACATTGAGTTTTGACACTTATTTCATTTAGTCACTCGTTTATCCTTCGTTAATAGTTTGACTTATATGACAAACATCTGAGAATGTTCGTAAGCAGAACTTATATCAAAGTACCAAAGCTCTTGTTTAATCGACATTCTCAAATCTTTTTTTCTAAATCTTACTCTAATCTAACGAATTTCCGTAAACCATAAAAATCTAATATGATTTCTACCATCAACAGCGCTTTAGTCTTGTCTGCCATAAGTGATGAAAATCTTAAAATCAAGGATAACAACATACTTGATGTTTAGATCTGTCAACAGATGAAATGGATTCTTGCTTATTGTGAAAGATTAAGATTGACAAAAAAACTTCTAGAAGTTAAAATACTTTCTTTAGGTAAAACTTTTGCGAAATTTTTATTCATATATCTATGGCGATACTAGCGTCAGTGAACTACATGCGAGAGGTCTAATAGATACACGAAACCAATATCGTCTATTGACTTGACGGTTGTGTAGATCCTTTATTTTAGAGCGTAGCAGTTAGTACTGCAAAAGTGTCCGTTTCATTTTTTGCTAGAGACTTGAAAATTTCAATAATATAGAAATTTCGTCGTCAATTATGGCAATTTCATCATGGTTTTTATTTTGATCGTTGATAGAGGCTGTGCTGGAATACTTTCCATGTCTGTTTCAATTCCTCTATAAACAGCACATCTATGATTGGTCTTTTGTATATTGTCAGCTTTATTTCACCGAAAGATTGGAATAGTATTTTGTTGATGTTGTTTAAAACAAGTTAGTATTATATTTAAGCAATTATTAACTTTACATTCATGTACATTTATTCAGATTTCGTATCTCATAATACTATTTTCGTTTTGAGAGAACTTCTGAGAACAAGGGTGTGAGTTTTATGTTGAGTTCGTAATCTCTATTCTCCTTATACATACAATGTTGATTGAGTAAAGATGTGCTAACTTGCGTGATTCCGTCTTTGAATAGAATTTTGAAAAAAGAATAAGTTGAGAAAATGTCATCTAAATATCTACAAGTATAAGCATGAGTGTGGTGTGTTGTTAGATGATTGGCAGATTGACTATAACATTCATACGCACTCCTAAACCCTTATTAAGATTTCTTTTGTGGTCCACCATGTACTACTGAAAAACATCAGCAGTTATCAACGCTAATGTCATTCTTTTGCTGGCAAGAATAGAAAATCTTTTTAGACCCTTGTATTATAACATTTCTATTAAATTATTTGTAATTCATACATTTCGTGTAAAAGGATTTTCTTAAATAAATTGAGGTGTTGAATTATAAACAAGCGTGTAGATATTTATAGTATGTACTAAATTATACCTAGTCATTATTAAGCATTCAATCGTTTTGATGTCCTAATATCATTAAATTAGATTTGTTTCAAGAACAAAAATTTCAAAATATATAAAGATGAGTATGTGCGATTGTAATAACTCGATATCAACTGCATTTGAAAATGACTTATCAAAAGTTTTTGTTTTATTGTTTTCTGTTTATATTTAAGAATATAATATATGACAGATTCTAAAATAAAAAAAAAAAACAATTTGATTTTTTCCTACTACCTTTTGCTTTTTGATATCTTTTGAGATATAAATATTTTTTGGCTTTTATTTCGTGTGCAATGTTGACCATGTCTAAATTATTCATGCGCATCATTTCGTGCAGCAACGTGTGCATTCTCTATAGATAGAGTATAATTTTTGAAAAAAACGAAAAAAAGAAAAGAAAAAAAAACAGGCAAAATAACAAACGATAAAAGATGAATAAGCTTACCTTGCTGCAAAGGTGAAACATCCGATCATTTGAGCAAACAAACAGAGTGTTACGTACACAACATTAAGTCAAATCAAGAGATACGCAGCACAAAATATTCCTCACACATTCGGTTTTGTTCATTTCGTTGGGGTGAGTAAATTATTAAAATAATGCCAAAAGTCAAAAAAAATCTATGGCCTAATGCATACATAATGTATATATGATCTGCACATTAGACACAATTGAGACAGACATGAAATCAATCCTAATGATCAATGTTTCTTTTGAACAATCGATTAATAAATGTTTGTTAGTCAGTAGTGTTTTTTTTTATATACTTTGCTTTCTCTATCTCATATTTTAATTAACACGAATTCATTGACGATTATGATGCATTATATAATTAGTTTCTTTGCTGTTTTTTTGTCAGTGCTATATATCATGTTCAGTTAATCAATAGACGAGCGTTGAACTATCAGCATCATGTAACTAAAATTTTAATAACAAAAAGGAATAAAAGTGGTATCGATACAATAGTAAAATCTTGATGTAGTTATTTCATTTGACTAAGCAAATGATAGTTATAATATATAGTCAGTGGTTGTTATAAAACAATGCCTCTTAGTATCGTACATATTTCAGCAAGAAGCATAGAAAACTTTTCAATAATCAAAAGATAATGTTGTCATAAAAGAAGAAAGCTAATTGAAAAAAATTCAGGCGTATAGTAAGAGGCAAATATACAAACACATGTCTAAAATTTCATTCATTTCTTATAATTCTAATGGTTCCTATACTTCTAATAATTCCAATATATTTCTTATCTACAGATGTCATTATATTGATTACGTTCATATTAACATACATCTGTTCTAGAGTATACTGAAGGTTCTAGATATATATATATATATAGTGAATTTTATCTTCTATATCTCTATATCAGGACTTAAATAAATTTTCAGGAATATTCATAGAAGACATCATCTGCGCTTAATTGAGAATGGAAAACTTTGGAACACACTGGAATATGTATGGTAGAGTTTGAAGAATCTATGAATACATAGAAAGGTGTCAGTTCAGTCATGCTGGATAACCATATATGTTGCCAGCTAATCTATAATTTTCCTTAAGGTACAAAACAATGAATGCCATATAACTTATAAAAACTGTTAAAAGAATTCGTAAAGAAAGGTTAATTGAGAAAGAGTATACATTTATTTATTCTTAACGTCTTTGTACTATTTATATATTTGTATAAGCAGTTTTTTTTTGAAAAATTTCATCTACCTAAGTTTGTCTCCTTCTTTCCGTCTATAAGAGCCATAAAATCATTTTGTATGTTCATTGGATAAGAATGAATCTTTGATCGAAATGAAGGTTTGAAATAACAAAGTACATGTATTTCATTTCCTATTACGAAATAGTCTAAACAGAGTATGACATATGTTTTTGAATCCTCAGAAATATAATCCTTCTAAGAAGATTTTCTCTACTCTACTTCGTAGAAGATTTATCAAAAGAGATTGTAGACAATACAAGCAAAAAGATGAGCTTGCTTGATGATGTGTACAGCAAATAAAGATTTCTGTCTTTCTGAGTTTTAGTAAACAAAAAGAAGAATTGTTAGCTATTATCTGTGTCGTAAAAAATGAATCTTTTCCAACTGAAGCATATCTGAATCTTTTGAAAACAGCAGCATTATTTCTTGCGATTTTTATTTCCAAACATGAATGGTATCTTCGCTCATTTTTATTTTCAAAAAACGAATTTGTTCACAATGTATTATTCTTATTAGATATACATGAAAAAATTAAGACTTTAGGAAAGTTAATCTTGTAATATTTCCCATTGTCAGTTAATAGAACTCTGTCAGATATTAGAACGTTGCCAATCAGATAAGAAACAATATTTTTTTAATGTGCGACTCTATCCTACGAACAATAACTCATCGATTTGATAGATCTGTTTAAGTTTACTTTACGAACTTTCTAAAGAAGAAAACCAGAACTATGATCTATATTTGTTGAAATAAAAAATTCACACCCGATCATCTGACAGTGCTGAACTGAGTGAAAAATGATATATCGTCTGGTTTATATTCATGTTAGATGACTAAAGAAGAGAGATACAGCTTGGTTCGATGATCTTACCTACAAAAGCGAAGGGTCAAAGGAAACTCATTTTATTCGATGAATTCGAACATATTGTTCTTATATGCTCTTATTTTGCATCAAAATTTATAAAAAACACCTTATCATGAATCCTAATAGATAAAACAATATAAGGGACAATTTAGTATTTGTTTTCCACTGCTAAAACATTCATAGATTTGATAGTTAAATCGAATAAGCAACATTCAAAGTTTCTATTCTATTTAGTCTCCTTGATAAAAATGGCCACTACTTCTCTACCAGATGATAACATATACACACATGTTGATGATCAGTACCTTGAAATTTTTTGTCTTATTTGGCTCGATGCTAATGTGAATAGTAAAGATATTCGAAATACAGAAAAAAAACTACGTACTGTTATAAATCGTTTTAAGAAGTTTCAAGATGTAGAACAATGTAAAAACTTTATTCAACAACAATCTCAAAACGATCGACTAGTAATCATTGTTAGTGGTCGACTGGGACGAGAAATAGTTCCTTCTATCCAAGGACTTCGACAAGTTACATCGATCTATGTTTACTGCAAGGATAAGAAAGGTAACAAAGAATGGGCTGATAAATTTCCAAAAGTAAAAAATTATTCAGAACGATTTCGATTTCATGTTATCATTTGTTTTGGTTGTTGACAGGTGAAAGATGTTCTTGTTGAACTTAATGAACTCATTGCTCGAATTACAGCTGATCATAAAATTCAGAAAAAGGTGGAAGAACCATTATCAATTAATATTTTTACTACAAATTTTGGCAAAGGTAAATCAACAAGTGGTATAAATGGTAAATTTGTTTTTTCGCAAGTACTTATTGATTGTCTTCTACGACTAAAGTCTACTGAAACAGATAAAAATGAACTTATTGATCGTTGTAAACAGCAATATGCAGGTAATAAAGTTGAATTGAACAATATTGATGAATTTGAAAAGAGTTATTCACCTGACAAAGCCTTATGGTGGTACTCACGACAATCTTTTTTTTATAATACTCTGAATGCAGTTCTACGTAACCAAAAAACTCATTTGATGTTTTTATTTCGTTCATATGTCTCTGATATCTATCATCAATTGAAAGATCATCAAGTTACACATACTCTAAAAGTTTATCGATGTCAAATGATATCAATTGATGAATTGGAAACTTTGAAACAATTAATTGGTCACTTTATTTCAGTGAATTCATTTTTTTCCACCAGCACTGATTATGAAGCAGCTCTTTCATTTATCAATGTTCATGGTGTCAAAGGAAGTTTAGAACCAGTATTATTTGAAATCAATGCCGACCCTCAAAAGGTCACTACAAAACCATTTGCTGATATCAGTAAATTTAGTGAATTTACTCAAGAATCTGAAGTACTCTTCATGCTTGGTTCTATTTTTCGCTTGAACAGCGTCAGTCGTAGCGGTAACGATCAACTATGGATTATCCAATTGACTTTGTGTAGTGAGACTGAACACGATTTACGACACGTTCTCAAGCATCTGCAACAGCAACTTGGTAGTGGAGAAACAAATTTTCGAACCTTCGGGAAAATATTATGGACTATGGGAAAACTTGATTTAGCTGAACAATATTATACTCGTTTTTTGAACGAACTTCCACCAAACGATCCTATAATCGGTAGTTTGTATGAGGAGCTTGGCGAATTAGCATCACAAAATCGCGACTATGAGACGAGCATTGAATGGCGTCAAAAAGCTATCGAATTCAAAAGCCAACAGCAACCGATTCTCACTGCTGGCATAAATGCAGCAAACAATGCTATTGGTGAGTTCATCAAAAGAAAGTTTATTATATTGAAACGAGTATCATATATGAAAATTCATATTTCATTAAGAAAAACAGAAGTGTGAATAATTAAAAAAGAGAAGTTCTTGAAAAGCTATTATAAACCTCATCATCACCAAGAAATCTTGCGTTCTACTAATTAAGTGGTCCTTATAGATCATCGAACTAGTTGATGGTTTCAAACAAATAAATAGAACCATCTACTATGATTTCATCTATTTTTTAAATCTTATCTTCTTCTCCAATTGTTTTAGATACTTTCTTTTCGGTAGCACTAATTATTTATTTCTTCCTTTGTACGTCATGATAGTATAATGTTGAGCGAATCGGACATGTTCTTACGTAAGAATAAACTATTTAAGTGCATTCGAGTACACTAGTATATTTTTTCTTCAATCTGCTTATAAATACTAAACAAAAGGATTAGACTCAATATATTCTAAAATTTTCTAATGAGTAGCATTTGAAGATATAGATCATAGGTATAAGCTCAATATATATTCCAGAACCAAGTAACTTTCAAAAACTATCGTTATAAAACATAGCCGGCTTAATCTTTCGATTTTTTTTTGAGATCCAAATAAAGTAAACGAAAGTTGCTAGAGACTCATTTGAAGCCTCCATTCTCTACGATGTACAAAAAATGTTGAAACTTTAGTTATAGTTTGGCTAAAGCTTTTTCCATCATCTACTTGTGTTAACTAACATTCATTCAATAATAATGTCCTAGATAGTACATTCTCATATTGTTTTTTCATTATTATAACTATTTCAGTACAGACTCGTTTAACTTTACAGTTTTACGTTATTTTGTAACAGATTTGGCATCACAGAACAGTGAAAATGACAAGAACACTCAACAACGTCAAAGCAGTCTCCCACCCAAAACTCAACATCAATTACCTCCCACCTCTATGGTTAATGAAGCGAACAATGCTAATGGTAAGTTCATCCGAAGAAAGTCTATCATATTGAAACCGACATCATATATCAAAGAAAAAATTCATATTTCATTAAGAAAAACACAATTGTAAATAATCAGAAAAGAGAAATTGTTGAAAAGCCATTCTAGATCTCATCAAGAAATCCTGTATTTTGTTTATTAAGTGGCCTTTCTAGATGGTCGAAACAGTTCACTATTCCAAACAAATCGACAAAACCAACTCCGATTATCTTATCTATTTTTCCAATCTTATCTTCTTTCCAGAATTATTTTAAAATTTTGTTGTGCGATAGCACTTATAACTTTTTTCTCTCTTTGTATATCATGACACTATAATTTTGAGCCATCTGGAGGTATTCTTGCATAAGAGTAAACTACTCAAATGAATGAAAGTATGTTTCGTTTTATTAGTTGAACCCGCTTATAAATACGAAACAAAATGATTAGACTCAATGTATGCTAATAGTTTCTAATGAGTGGTATATAAAGCTACACCCAATATATATAAATTTAGTACACATTGGAAAAATAAATAAATTTCAAATGCTATGCTTACAAGATATAGTTGGCTTAATGTTTAAATTTTTCTCTGAGTTGCAAATAAAGTAAGGAAGAGTTGTTGCAGATTTATTTCAAATTCCAATACTCTTCAATGTACAGAAAACGTTGGAACTTTAGTTATACTTGGTCTAAACTGTTTTTTTCTATTATCTACTTTTGTTAACTAATCTTTGCTGAATAATAATGGCCTACATAATTCATTATTTTATTTGCTTTCTAATATAACATTCATCAGAGTAGGAATTCGTTCGATTTTAAAGATTTACGTTCTTTTTAAAACAGATTTCGCATCACAGAACCGTGACTATGACAAGAGTACTTATCAGCGTGAAGAACATCGGACACCCAACGAACGTTATCGATTACCTCGCACCTCTACTATCAATGAAACAACCGATGCTAATGGTAAGTTCATCCAAAGAAAATAGATTATATTGAAACGAGCATCATATATGAAAATTCATATTTCATTAATAAAAACGCAATTCTAAATATTCAGCAAAGAGAAATTGTTGAAAAGTAATTATTGATCTCATCAAGAAATCCTGTGTTTTGTTTATTAAATGACCTTTCTAGATGATCGAGATAGTTGACGGTTCCAAAGTAAGAGATGATAGGACCATCTACATCTAGTATTGTCTTATCTTCTTTTACAATTCTTTTAAAAATTTTGTTTTTGTGATACCACTTATTACTTATTTCTTCTTTTGCATATCATGACACTATAATGTTCAGCCAATTGAAGGTATTCTTTAGTAAGCGTACTCTATTCAAGTGGATGAAAGTATGATTCGTTTTCTTTGTTGAATCTGCTTATAAATATTGAAGACAATGATTAGACTCAATATATTCTAATTGTTTATAATCAGTAGTATATGAAGGTGTAGATTATCGCTAGGAACTGAATATATATTTGGGAACTGGAACTTCCAAAAGCTATACTTAAAAGATATAGTTGGTTTAATGTTTAAATTTTTCTCTGAGTTGCAAATAAAGTAAGGAAGAGTTGTTGCAGATTTATTTCAAATTCCAATACTCTTCAATGTACAGAAAACGTTGGAACTTTAGTTATACTTGGTCTAAACTGTTTTTTTCTATTATCTACTTTTGTTAACTAATCTTTGCTGAATAATAATGGCCTACATAATTCATTATTTTATTTGCTTTCTAATATAACATTCATCAGAGTAGGAATTCGTTCGATTTTAAAGATTTACGTTCTTTTAAAACAGATTTCGCATCACAGAACCGTGACTATGACAAGAGTACTTATCAGCGTGAAGAACATCGGATACCCAAAGAACGTTATCGATTATCTCACACCTCTAGTATCAATGAAACAACCGATGCTAATGGTAAGTTCATCCAAAGAAAGTATATTATATTGAAACGAGCATCATATATGAAAATTCATATTTCATTAACAAAAACGCAATTCTAAATATTGGGAAAAGAGAAGTTCTTGAAAAGCTTTGATAGATTTCATCATTATCAAGAAGTCCTGTGTTCTTCTTTTTAAGTGACCTTTCTACATGATTGGAAAAGTTGACGGCTCGAAACAAATCGACAGAACCATATGCTATTTTTTGCTCTACGTTTTAAATCTTGTCGTCTACTACAATTGTTTTGCTAACTTTTTTGCGACAGGGCTAATTACTTATTTCTTCCTTTTTATACCATGATAGTATAATGTTGAGCTAATTGAGGGTATTCTTACGTAAGAGTAAACTATTCAAGTGGATGTGAGTAAGGTTCGTTTTTTTTTGTTGAGTCTGCTTACAAATACTAAACAAAATGATTAGACTCAATGTATTTTAATGGTTTCTAATGAGTAGCATATGAAGATATATATAATAGGTATATACTCAGTATATATTTGAGAGTTATATTTTTCATAAAGGTGTGCGTAAAAGATATAGCTGTTCTAATGTTTCAATCTTTTTTGTTGGTTGAGCGTAACCGTAAGGAAAACTAGCTGAAGATGCATTTGAACTCTCAGCTCTCTGCGATATCAGAAAAATATCAAAAATTTTACTTATAGTATATCTGAATCTTTTTTCCATCATCTACTTCTGTTAACTAACATTCGTGCAATAAGAATGACCTGGATAATTCACTATCATATTCTTTTACTAATGTAACATTAAGTGGGGGTGGAGATTCGTACTATACTATTGTTTTACGTTATTTTAATAGATGTGTGTCGGGAATAATTGAGATTTATGAAAAACTAAACGGAGTTTTAAAAAGGGTGTCAGCGTTAGAAAATTTCAAAAAGATGATGATAAAAAGTGATCTGTCAAGTTCACTTGATAATCGAGATGTGTTTAGATTGATATTCGGTATAGAAACAATAATAAGTAGGCTATATTTGTTTTATTCGATAGGGTATATATTTCAATAATCTCTTTCTTTTTTATTTCGAGAATATGGAGACGCTGAATGATTGATGGAAGCTTTTGAACAAAATATTGTTGTTTTCATGTATTTATTCAGACAAACAGAGCGTTGATATAGTTGGTTTAAAAAAAAAATAGTGCATTGCACCACATATATCTATTATAATTATGATTATTAGAGCGTAATGAATTGTGTTAAGCACTAAGGCAATTGAAAGTTATATCTGCTGTCTACATGCAATAGTCCATGATATGTGGTGCATAATCAGTCGTGCTAAATTTTGACTCGGAGTTTTTGATAACTCAGTAAAAGAAAAAAATCTAGAGAAAACAATACAATTTTTATTTATGGATTAGTGTGGCTTTATATTTTGTGAACTTTTAACTAAATTATTTCGCCTTGCTTATAAAGTTTGATATTTACTATGAATTCTTTTAAAGAGAATGCAAAAAATAATCTATATGTGAGCTATGATATATTTATTTTAATTCATGCTTAACTTTAATTTAGGCTTAGTTAAATCTTAGAAATTATAGAGTTCACCAGTGTTCAGCAATATATTCAATTGGAACTTAGATTATCTTAGCATGCTCCGAACGAAAGACGAAAGGATCTCTAACCATTATAGTACAAGCAACGAAACTTCAGATTTTGAAATCATCTGCTGATTTCTGGAACTACTAAGAAATAACCAATAATGAAAAGAAAGTATAGCTTACCTTAACTGCACAAATATCCATGCATTCATATCATTGAATAATTGACAGATCTTTTTCTTAAAGCTATTTAGAGCTCAAAATCTCAGAAGGAGAATTCTCGTCGCCCTCACGCAAAGGATTGGATTTACGCTTTTTGAGTAGTGTGTCTTATCAATTTTTATTTGTCTTCGAATTTGATGTTGTTCGTAGATGATGCGTAAAGTATATCATGTTGTTAAATTTCGTTCAGTTTTATTCCAATCAACAAGAGCAAAGAATTTCTGTAGCTTAAGCATTTCTTGCAATAGAAAAATGACTGTTTTCTGCCCAAATTTAATATTCCAAAAATGTAATATATTGATTGACTTGTTCAAAAATGTATATTCGAAAATCATTTTCTGATGTCGACGCATAAGAAGACATTGGTGTAAATATCACAGTTTGAATAAATGAGAATGAATACTCTGAGTGATTTTAAAAAATAAGTTCGTTCTGTTTTCTTCAAGCAAACAAAAAATTAGGATTTTTTTTCAAATAAAAGAAAATTATTTCGTAGTTTCGTGCCTAATTAAAAGCGAATTCTGCTTAAGTTTAATTTTGCTTACGACGCGTATATCACCACGTGTTGTATGATTGACTCATCATTCAATGTTATGCACTGTTGTGTTCTTTGTTCATTCTCTTCAAACAAAAGTTGTGAGCTTTTGAGTTTGTTGAGATTAATATTTCGAAAGCATACCAGAGTCTACATCGACTTCATCCGAAATGTTACGCACTTATAGAAGTAGTAGAACATAATCTCTTAACCTCAAAACTCACATTCAAAAATTTGTAAAACAATATCTTGAGAGCTTTCCATCGCCGATTGTAAGAACATTCCAAGACCAAAACGTTTTATTGAGCGAAAAGTTTATTCGCCAACATTTCGTTTAGATTGAAAAGTTCTCCAGAAAACTGGATTTTTCTAGGTTTTGAGAGCCTAATTTCTCTTACAAGGGATACAGTTTAATTGTCAATAATATATATGTTGGAATTATCTTAGAACATTCTCTCGAACTTTTGAATTTTCACAAATGTCAAACTAAAGCCGGCCGCTGAACATGAGCATTTTGGGAGTTGATTTTGATGTTTCTTGAACTTCCTACTGAGGAGAAGTAAGAATTTCGGTGAAGACAAAAGCAAATATTCATAAATGATTTCTACAAACTTGTTACAAAAATGGCACGTTGATATTAATCTAACACTTTTACTACCGAAAGTATTTTTCAGAAGGAAACATATTAGGTTTTTCCCAAAACTTTTACACTAACTGACCATGGAAGCGATTAATTTTTTTGAGGACCTAAGCCAAGAAGACTTTAAGTAATAGTTTTTGCCTGTGCCAAAATCCTAATTATTTCTTATTAGGAAATTCAAAAGTTCAGATGAAATCAATTCCAGCCAATGCCCGATGGGCACAGAATGGAGTGGTCGTTGCTGGAGGCTATGGAAATGGCTATTCCTCCTATCAATTCTGCTTTCCACACGGTTTCTACATTGATGATGATCAAACAATGGTTATTGCTGACAATGGCAATCATCGTATCGTTCAATGGAAGGTGGGTGATCAGCATGGAAAAGTTGTGGCTGGTGACCTTGGTGCAGGATATCGATTGGATCAATTAAATCAACCAACCGATGTGATGATTGACAAAGCGACTGATAGTCTCCTTATCTGTGATGGAGGCAATCGACGACTCCTACGATGGCCTCGTCGCAATGACACAAGTCAAGGAGAAATCCTTTTCGACAAGGTCCGCTGTTATGGATTGGCCATGGACGATCGCAGATATCTTTATATTTCTGACAGCCAAAACCATGAAGTCAGACGGTATCAATTGGGAGACATGAATGGAACTATCGTAGCCGGTGGTAATGGCAAAGGTACTGGTCTCGACCAACTCAATCTTCCAACGTACATCTTTGTCGATCAACAACAAGCTGTCTACGTGTCGGAACGTCACAATCATCGTGTGACAAAATGGAATAAAGGTGCAACAGCAGGAATTGTCGTTGCCGGAGGCCAAGGTCAAGGATCGGCTCTAACACAACTGTCACAACCTGAAGGGCTGGTCGTCGATGCGTTGGGTACTATCTATGTGGTGGATTCATTTAATTATCGAGTGATGCGCTGGTGCAAAGGGACGAAACAGGGTACTGTTGTTGTTGGTGGAAACGGCCGAGGAACAGGAACAAATCAGCTCAACGGTCCTGTGGGTTTGTCCTTCGATCGGCATGGAAATCTCTATGTCGCCGATTGTGGAAATGACCGAGTTGTACGCTTTTCTATCGAGTAGACTGATTACCATGGTTTCGTCTATTTTCATCCGATCGAATAAATAATGATGTATTAAATTGTTAAAGAATTTGCTATACGTTGCACTTTCATAAACCTTTCAAAAGAGTTGATGGTCATCATAAGCCTTCTCATATATTCTCCGAAACCCTTTCTAAAATGGTTGATGAGAGTACTATATCCACGATCCACACTTAGAAAGGATATTTGGAAGCGTTCATGGCCATCCCCTATGTTCGATCGGGTTTATGATAAAGTGTATAGTAAACAGATTATTGACCCTATCAATTGCCCCAAGGTTTTATGATAGGGTATATCAAAGTGATTATGGACCTCAATTATCATTTTAAGGGTGTGGTAGAAAATATGGAGCGTTTCAAGAGGACCATCAATTGCTTCGAGGGATTGATTAATGATTGAATAGAGGTGTTTCTCGCCATCATTAATGGTGCACGCACGTCCGTGAAAGATATATGAAGAAACAATTAAATATTTTTATGGTTATATGAATCGCATGCTTATGATAGATGGCATTTCGTAGTCATTAACTAGAGGATGTCAGGCTTAGTAAAGGTTGAAAGAAACTCTTATCTGTTATTAGCTCTAAGCTTGAAGCTTTATATATACCGGAATTTCCACTTGATGATCTGAATAATCGAATGTTGACTAATTCAGAAAGGAACGAAACAAAAAGCTCAAGATAATCTATTGATAAATTTAAATCTAACAAGGCAATGACAAATAAAAAATAAAAGTTGTTTGAAAGGAATCGTGTGAATCAATTTCTAGGACTAGCTACACAAGACAAAGAGAATAATTAAATAATAAGACAATTAAATAACTTGAAAGAATGATTCTAATCAGTTGCTTTAAATAATTTTTCGAAGAGCCTCGAAGTTAATCAATCTGCCTACTAGATCTTGTAGGATTTCTTCACAATTCCACCAGAACTGACTGCATGATATTTTATGAGAACAAAAAAGTTCATGACGATCTTGTCAGATATTCTACAATATAGTATGTGGAATTAAAATGCGGGAAATCTCGTCAAATGGTGCAGTAGGATTATTGTATGACCTTTTCTGTGGTGTTATGATGATCATCGAAGGATACCAATCATCCTATTTCTAATCTACTCAACTTTTCAACCCACAAAATTACACGAAAACTTCACTCATCTCAAGTAATATTGGAGTTGACCATGCCTCTTGAATTCGATTTCCACGAAAAAAGCACTTTCAATTTAAAAGATCATGCATTGCCTTTGTAGATGTTGCCCACCAAAACCTAAATGAAAAATCCGTAACTAATTAAGAGAATAGTACTTTTCCATTGAGAACATTGGTAACAATATCGTTCTAAAACCCCGTATTACATTGAAAAACATATTATCAATTCAATTAATTGTAGGTAGTACTTGAGAAGAAACCATTCTCTACACGACAAAAAATATATTAAACTGATCAAAATAAAGATGGTGCTTACCTACACAGAAGCATTCGATTCAATAGTCACGGTTCCATTCATCCATACAAGATGTTGAATAGGTGCACCGAAAAAAAGAACAAATTAGAATTAAAAAATTATGATGAATTCAATATTCACAAACTATTCTTCAGTATCGTTTGAATCGAGTACCATCTCTAAGCACTAACAGTTGGAAAACATCTATCACAGATCTTCAGCAGCAATATCTGAATTTAAATCATAAACTCCACAATGAATCTGATACTTCACTACAGCATTTTCTATGCAGGAAACTCGATGAACACCGCCGAATTGGAAAGTGAAAAAACTACACAAACATTCCTGTAGTTGTCGTTGAACCACTAAATACAACACAAAGCCTCAGCAAAGAAAAACTACATCACTCTATGCAGCATGTTTTTCATGAAATTTCTGAATGTAATACATACAAACTGAAATTCACAATCATACTGATCTCTCAGTCTCGTTGACACAGGAACATGGACAAGAAGCAACTGCTTGAGAAATACAACTGGTATGAATATTTTTTAGTGGTTCTTCTTGTTCACCTTGTTACAGTGATGTCGCCTGTATACATATATTCTCTATATTAGTATTATCCTCTATCTTCTATCATCTCTCTTTGACCTTGTATTCGTTCTTCTCGTTCTTCTCATGAGATATGTATTCTTTTATATCGTTATAAAAACAGTTAGTTATTTTCCTTACGTAATAAAGTAGTCCACGTCCATCAAGGACATACGTATACATATATCTCTATCGAGCCACACATAGAGAGAAGAGAGAACGCTAACAATTGGCAACCCTGCAAAACAACATCCAAAAAAAAAAATAATAATAATAATAAATAAATAAAATAAAAATTATTATTACAAACAAGCACGAAGTTAATTATCATCCAAATTAATCTTCTTAAATTTATATCAAGTAGAGCCTCAACTTGAAAGAGACTCGTATATATATATATTCATATCAAAGCCTCTTCATAAAGAGACTTGTAATTGATTTTTCTCAGAGCCTTTCGAAAAAAAGACTCGTACAAATTTAACCCATTATATTATTGATCTGATATTTGAATATTGAATTTCATTAATAGGTGAGAAAATCATTTTCATATAATAATATTATACATGCAAAAAATATAAGGAATACTTTTGAGTAAACCGTTTTGAATTTTCAAGAAGAAAAAAAAGAATTGCATTTTTTCCTGTCATATAATTACAGTCCAAANTAGGTGATTGGTCTAACAAGTTGATTGCGTTCAATTAAAAATGACTAACCAATTTAAATCCTCTAGCGTTTCTATGATATATTCGTAAGGCCGGAAAAACTCAAAAATTCAGTTAACATTTTTTCTCAATGATTTATATATGGTTGGATAGAGCTCAAAAAAACTGTGTCAGAAAATGTACTTTTAAAACATTCTCCCTCTTTTATATACATTTAAAAAGTCAAAATACTAAGATCATTATGTTACTGAGACCATTCCGTATAGAATGATCTCAGTATTTTGAGCTTTTTAAATGTATATAAAAGAGGAAGAATGTTTTAAAAGTACATTTTCTGACTCAGCTTTTTAAGCTCTATCTAACCATGTATAAATCATTGAGAAAAAATATTAACTGAAATTTCGAGTTTTTTTTACCTTACATAGACATTGCTATACATACTAGTCAAACTAATTTATTTTTTTAATATTTTTTTTATATTAGACGAATCAATAAACACAACATTTAACATTTGCAGCCTCTAAGGGGTAAAATAAAAATAATATCTTGTCTTCACAGAGGTGAACATATAACAAAACGAATCATAAAAAAAGATCGTTATACAAGTCATCGTCATCGCGTTACGAGGCCCTCATCGCGTTAAGTTAATAAAACTGATTTCTATTCAAAATAGGAAGCCTGTTCGAATAATTTTTTTCTCCGTTGGATATCTCAAACTGTTGGCTACAAAACGTCCATAGAACGTTTCTTTGAACACAGCATACATTCGCAGAGAAATAAAGAACAATCAGGTGACCCTTGGTTTTTTGTCCTTTTTTCGTCATCGCGTTACGCCATATATATTTACTATAATCTCCAAATGGCTCGCTCAAATGAGCTCATATTTTCAGGAGTTTTGCAGAGGGCAGAGATACATCTTACAACGAAATAACAAACTTTCTGGGTAATCTGATTGCTGAGAAAAGTTAATAAAACTGTGGCCAAAACGTCATCGCGTTACGCTCGTACAAGCTGATATATGAAATCAATGTCGTTCTATTATTTAGACGTGAAATGATTAAAACTACTATATTTAAAATGTGTACTTGTATTGAAATGGTTTTATCACAGAGTTACATTAGTATAACATTTTTAATGATGTATGGAACAATGTGGTTATTTGATATGAAATTTGATACACGTGTTTTTACTCTTTCATATGTATTACTTAATTATACACGTCAATCTTGCATTAATTATTTTAACTTTGCTATTCGTGATCTTCTTAATTATATGGCTGCTCAAAAACGAATCCGAGTTCGTTTGAATAAATTGTTTTTTTAAATGTTTTTGGTTGTCATGTTTTGAAATGAAAATTTTCTATAGACATTTCTTTTGTTTGATGAATCTGAACGAGATTATCGATTGTTATCAACCTCTTTTAACGATATCGTAGAAATAGATAAAGTTGATGAAAATTTAATAAAACGAACATCTGAAGTTATATGCAATTTAAAACAAGCTCAATGGGAAAAAGTAAATGTTCTTATGTTTCTATTGACTAAAATAATAATTAATTATTATTTTTTAAGAATGGAAAATTTTTATTAAAAAATATTATATTCGATGCTCATCCAGGTGATTTAATCTGTATCATTGGACCTGTTGGATCTGGAAAAGTTTGTTTCGTTTTTGCCCAATTTGAATATAATTATACTTTCGGATTTCATTTATTTAGAGTTCACTTTTACAAACATTAACAGGTGAAATAACTTATTTTGATGGAAAAGTTCGATTATATGGATCATTTTGTTATGTACCACAAGAATCATGTAAGTGAATTATTATTGAAAACTCGTTCAAAATTTGCTTATGATATCAATAGGGATATTCTCGTCATCAGTAAAGAATAATATTCTTTTTGGTAAAAAATATAATTCTAAGTTATTTCAACGCGTTGCGCGTGCAACTGCTCTCGATACAGTAGGTCAATTTTTATTCTTTATCAGAATTAGTTTTCTGAATAGATTCTTTTAGCATAGACATTTGTATAAATATTGACCACTTCAGCTAACTATGAATTAAAATTAATCAGCTAATTAATTGAAAAGTAATTAGTGAATATTTTTCAATTCATCTGAGAAAAAAAACCTTCAAAACGTCAGGGTAGACTTCTTATATATATTTGTACATCATCACATCGCTAACAAAAAGTAAATTGCTCTTTCTTTTTTTTGAAAACAATGATACATGCTGAGAAAAGAACTTTGGATAGAGATTCTGTAGCCTCAGGAGTTGTCTACAGCGTGTACATTATAGTTTTTAAAACTATGTAAAACGCATGGAATGAAAGTTGATATTCGTTTTTGTGTCACATCGCTAAAGAATGATTTTGTCTATATACAGAATTATATGCAATTGTGTTTAATGACTAGGATTTTGTTCAATTGTCTCATGGTGAAAATACTCTTGTTGGTGATCAAGGTGTCATGTTATCTGGAGTAAGATATGCTGATTTATTCGAAGAAAAAAAGTCTATTCAAATGAGTTCTTATTTCTTATATATAGGGTCAAAAAGCACGTGTCAATATAGCAAGAGCACTCTATCGTGATGCTGATATTTATCTATTAGATGATCCACTTTCAGCTGTTGATGCTAAAGTTTCTAAACATCTTTTTGATAAGTAAAGAGACCTTTTGTTTTTAATCTTCAAAATATCGATGAATTTATTAAAGATCAATCAAACATTATCTTCGTGATAAGATTCGTATTTTAGTTACTCATCAAATACAATTTTTACAAAATGCAACTAAAATTATTGTTCTTGATAATGTATGTATATAAATCAAAATGTATGTGGGTTTTTTTTCCATATAATTGAATTCATATATTATTATAGGGTGAAATGGTACAAATGGGAACATATGAAGAATTACTTGTATCTTCACCATTATTTGCTCAACTTCTTGAAGATATTAATCAACATGAACAAGAACAAGAGCAACAACAACCAATTTCTTTATTAAATCAACAATCAATGATTGCTTCAATAAATTCAGAAAATGACAATGTTGATGAAGAAAATATTAATTCATTAACACAAAATCTTGAAACAAAACAAGAAGGAACAGTAAAATGGAATGTTTATGTATTATATATTCGATCTGGTATTGGTGTCATTTTGGGTTTTCTATTAATTATAATTTTATTTGCAACACAACAAACAATAGCTATTTATAGTAATTGGTGGTTAGTAACATGGACTAATGATGAAAGTCGTCGTCATCATCAAAATTCAACGAATTGCGTGGCTATACAAGATAAGAAAATTGATAAAATATATCGAATGAATAGTATTGAATGGTATACATATCGAGATCGACGATTTTATATATTTTGTGGTCAGTTTGTTAATGAAATTTTAATTGTTTTTCAATATTCTTTTATTGAATTATAGTTTTCGTATTTATACTTTGCTTTTTGATATTTCTTCGGACTGTTGTCAGTCAACTTATATTTTTAAATGCTGGACGAGTACTTCATAATAAGTATGTTATTGTTAAATTTAATTTTCTATTTTTTTAAAAACTTTTTCTCATTTTGAGAATGTTTAAACGAGTAATTCGATGTCCTATATCATTTTTTGATACGAATCCTGTTGGTAAGTATCTGACTTTGATCTTTATTTAGTATTTCTAACGATTCGAAAAAGATCTGAAATTTCTACAACATACAGAAATGTCTAATAGAAATCATTTTAGTTCTATCCAACAAGTAAATAATTCGAAACATTACCATAATCTACTACAAATTACTAGAACAAAAAGAGCATGATGAAATTTAAAATAATAGATTTCTTTCTCTAATTGTGATAAATTCAAGTTAAGACGATATTTAAAAATTTAGAATTGAATATCACAAATTCGGATTTCTATTTAATATTTGTTGACAGGACGAATATTGAATCGTTTTACAAGCGATATTGCTACAATGGATGAGTCTTTGCCAATGACTGTGTTCGATTTTCTTGTGGTAAATCTTATTTGCGTTTTTTTAAAAGTCTATGTCAACATATAGACATGACATATTTCTTTTAGTCTTTATCTCAAGTTTTGGGTACAATTGTTCTGGTTATATTCCTTAATCCATGGCCATTTATTTCAGCAATAATTGCTGCAAGTGGCATGCTCTTTGTGAGATATCGATTTGCTCCATGTTCCCGTGATTTAAAACGACTTGTAGGAACTACACAAAGTCCTGTGTATTCACAATTAACATCAACTATTCATGGACTCAAAGTCATTCGATCTTATCATGCTGAAAATATTTGTTCTGAAGAATTTCATTATCATCTTGATAATAATACACGAGTCAGCTTTTTGATTACAACATTAAATAGATGGTCAGCAATGCGTTTCGATTGGGTATCTCTAATATTTATTGCCTTGGTTATCATACTTGCCATAATTGTTCGTATAAATCAACATCAATTTTCAGTGGTAGAAATTGCTCTTACACTTACCTATAGTCTCAATCTAATGGGTCTTTTTCAATGGACCATCAGGTTAGATCTTGAAAATAAAATGTACATTTTTGTTTTCATCAAGAAAACATTGTTTATTTTAGACAATCAGTTGAAGTTGAAACGCAAATGACATCAGTCGAACGAATACTTGAATATTGTTCACTTGAACAAGAACCACATAATCAACTGCCATTCAAATATCGACCACTAACAAGTTGGCCATCACAAGGTCGCATTGTTTTTGAAAATGTTTCTATGTCTCATTCAAAAGAATTAAATTCACCATTGGCTCTTAATCATATTTCATTAATAATTGAACCTGGTGAAAAAATTGGTATTGTTGGAAGAACAGGTGCTGGTAAAAGTTCATTCATTCAAACTCTTTTTCGAATGGGTACACTTGTCGATGGTCACATTATTATTGATAATATTGACATAGCAACTATTGGATTAGATGATATTCGACGTCGTATTTCAATTATTCCACAAGATCCAGTTCTTTTTACTGGTACAATGAGAAGTAATCTTGATCCATTTGGTCTTTATTCAGATGCTGAAATATGGAATGCACTTGAACAAGTCTGTTCTTATTTAACAAATTCCTTTTTTTTTGTATCACTAATTGAATAAATTTGTTTTTTATTGATATAGGTACAATTGAAGAAATTAGTAACAAATATGATGTCGATTGGTCTTCATTCATTAGTAAGTGAAAGTGGATCTAATTTGAGTGTTGGCCAAAAACAACTGGTATGTTTGGCAAGAGCGATTTTGAAAAAGAGTAAAATTCTTGTAATTGATGAAGCAACTGCTAATGTGGATAATGCGTGAGTGACCAAAAAAGCAAGATATTCAGTCAAAGAAAAAGATTAAAAATATTGTTTAGAACGGATGAATTGGTTCAAAGAGCCATTCGTGATCAATTCAAAGAATGTACAGTATTGACAGTTGCACATCGTTTGCGTACAGTGATTGATAGTGATCGTATCATGGTATAGAATTTTGATATTGTTTTAGACATATACACATTTATTTGTTATTTATAGGTTCTTAGCTATGGAAAATTGGTCGAGTTTGATTCACCTCAAGTATTACTTTCAAATAATTACTCTCATTTTAGTTTACTAGTAGAACAGACAGGAATAGCTGAAGCAGAATATCTTCGAACATTAGCAAATCCTGCTGAATCATATAGAAGGCGGGTACGAGAAATATATAACTTAGACGATGAGCCGATATTAGAAACTAATGAAATGGATCCTCTTGTTCCTTCATTGAAATAGTTGTGATTCAATGCAATGAAATAATAACATTTTATAGGTATTCGGATTATCTTTATTATAATTAATTTCTACTTCTCAATAAAACAATTTGAAATAGAAAGAAGATTCTAATTTTCTTTTTGGTCAACAATTGATTTCCATTGTCATGAAGAACGTTGAATCCAATATTAATTTAATAATATATAATAAAACCTATTCAACGAGCATAGATGCGAGCAGAAAATAATATTTCCTTCTTCAAATACGTATTTCGTTGTGTATTGTATGACTGTATAACAGAAGAAAAGGGATATTCTGATTTTTTTTCACATATTTTCTGCTCCTTGCTTTCTAATGTTCTTTCCTGAGCAAGCTACTTATTTTTCTAAGTCTCTGTTCTACTAGTAATTATCTTTCCTATATTTGATCTACTCATACGTATTTAAAAATCATTTATTTATTTAAAACGAAAAGTACAATAGAAATTAGATCTTATACGATAATATAACTGATAAAATTACCATTAATCAGTATAATTTACAAGATGACATTTACTTTGAACATAACACACCGAAGAATTTTTTCTGAAGTATTCGTCAAGTTCTCGAAGCTTCGTCATTGTAATGTGCAGTTAAGAAACACCAAAGATCATAGTCCATCGATTCGGATTATGGTCATATGTTTTGTACATTCGAATCATTTTGATGATTTTCGAAAGATGTTCCAGAAAACCAATAAAAAAGACTAATTATTAAGAGGTCAAAAACACATTTTTAGCCGTCCACCAGCGCAAACCATCAAAATATGGTTGTTTCGTGCTGAAACAAGTATTGCTTCGACAAAAACCAACCGATACCTCCGTGTGATAGGAAAGAAAAATGTTTGAATTATCACATTCTGTTCTATTGTACGCTGGTTTTTTTTACTTTCTACTTTTTACGTTACAGGTGAGTAACGACGCTAAGAGCACATTATTTTGTTTTTTATTGCGTTCAACGAAGCTATTTACTGCAAACCATCTTGTTATCAAAACATGTTCACAAGCAGATTTATCATTGGTAAAGAGACCATTCTGATAAACCATTCATTCGATGTAGAACAAAAAAAATAGTTGCCAAAAGAAATAGTAGACAAACTGAAAACTATTTGTTCAGTCTCAAACTTTTCACCTATTTGACTATTCAAAGAATGGCGTATATATATATCTGAATACAGAAATTAACTTGGGGTATTTTGATTTGCAGTATGTATTCATGTTCAGCTAAAAACAAGCTATATTTCATAACAATAAAACAACTATGTCATCAGACTCATCATGATCGATCATCTTGATTATAGGGTGCGGGTGTGAGTATGAGTTTGGTAATCATTTCTTCACACCCACACCCACACACATATCGATTATAGCATTCATCTCTTCCGTCTTTGTTTTCTTAACGATGGCAATTGTATCGTGCAGGATTTACATGCATGGCGTCTTTTTATGTCGCCAAGAATGCCAAACTGTTAATAATAAGTGCGTATAATGAATATTCTTTTTATGCTGTTTTATTCGAAGGAAACTAATTTGTGTCGTTGTGGGAGTGAATTTGGGTGTGAGAAGTGAGTTGTTGTAGATGTAGGTCTTTTCTTCATCTAAATCCATATCCTAAAGCAGTTCTGCTATAATTATGCAAGGGGTATTCAAAATTTATGCTCACACTACTGACATCCAACTTTGAAAAATTGCATACAAGTCACCTTCACCAACAGCGACACCTTGGCGAGTAATATTTTGAAGATAAAGTAGTACATATAAAGTACAAAATATTGAACATTGAGCTGCTACAAATAACACAATAGACTTTTATGTAAAGTCACGTTTATTTGTGTATTCAGCTCTTGATGTGATACATTTATCATCGTAAGGAAAAACACAACTAGAGTGCTGGTGTGAGTGTGGGTATAAATGAAGAGAAGATCCACTTTTACTCCTACACTCACAACTCGGTAAACAGACAACATCAATCAGCCTCGATGATTATCCCAACTTTGGTCGTAAAATAAAAATACGTCAAAAAGCAAAATATTGATAAAAGGATGTGACACATTTGGAGAAGTAAATATTGGAAAGTAAAAATGTTGAACTTGAAAATGTTTTTATTCAATATTTTTCATTGAAATTCCGTTTCAACATTTTTATTGTCGATGTTTGATGTTTTATTACTTATACTTTCAGCATCAGTTGGATGAATCGTTTCAACTGAGAACAGTTGGACTCGATAATTGTCTTTATCGGTGACATAGAGATCGCCATTTTGATTGAATGTCAAACCAAGAGGATGATTCAACTGGTTAGACTGTTGTCCCGGTCCATTTCCGCCAACAATGACATTTCCCTTTATCGCTCCATTGCGCCAACGCGTCACTCGATGATTATTAAATTCTGCCACATAAATTGTGCTTAGCGGATCCACAAACAATCCAATAGAATCCGACAATTGTGTTGGATTAGCTCCGGCTTCTCGACCACCAGCAACAATAATCCCTTCCTTAGCACCATGGACCCACTTCATTACACGATGATTTAAGTCGCTCGACACGTACACAGAATAATCTAGATCGACAAAGACACGCATAGGACTCTTGAGTTGATTGAGTTCATTGCCACCTGCCACTACTATTCCATCGGTTTCTCCGATTCGGTATCGTCTCACTTCATGCTTCTCGCAATCACAAACGTAGAGAAATCTATGATCGTCCAACGTTAATCCCCAACAAGCAATGTTCTTGATGATCGTTTCTCCTCCTCTTTGGCGTCGACGAAGCCATAACATCACTCGTACATTTCCACAATCACAGATGATAAAGCTGTCTGCCTCTCTGTCAATCATTACATTTGTTGGTTGATTCAGCTGATTCGATCGGTTTCCTTGTCTATTTCCACCAGCTACCACTTGACCACTTGTTGCACCAGGTTTCCATGCCACAATACGGTGATTGTTGGTGTTAGCAATATAGACAGTTTGATCATCATCAACATAGACACCATGTGGCTTGTTGAGTTGGTTGAGAGCATTGCCAGCTCCTTGACCTCCAGCGATGGTGACACCGTTCTGTGTCCATTTAGCACTCAGAAGGGCATTTGACAGAGCTAATAATAATAGAAAAAAAATATGAGTATTGACTGATGAAGAAGATCGAAATCAGTTGTTTGATGGTATGAAAGCCAGCTTACATACTGGAAGAACTCATCCAAGAAGGTTTTCTTCTGTGAGAGAGACTTTGTCGCTATCAACGATCCATATCGATCGTGGTCGAAATGAGTGTACTTGTTGATGACTGACTGTCCTTATTAAATCAACTCTTTGGTCACTTTAACCTTTCTCTCAGCTAGACTCGATCAGTTCTCATGATCGATTATATAAATCTTTTGATCAAATGATATTAATAATACAACTTATCGAAAAGAATTTTCAATTTGGGAACTCATTCGAACAAAATTTGTGTGGAAACGCAACGTATGTGCAACAAATCGGATTGAATATCAGTAGAAACCGATCCTCATAAATGATCAAATGCGAATATCATGCAACATCTCTTGAAAAAGAAGATCAGTCAAAGAACAGGTCGAAATATAGTTGAGTCATATGAGATATAACTTACAGGGGGGGCGGAAGGTCTCAAAATTAGGTGACGCTCAGTTCAAATATAATTTTCATCGTCAAATAGTTTCTCCTATGAGCCCAAAGGTGCCTGAGGGACTCCATATGATATGCCGTTTTCAAACTGTTTGGTGCTGTTGTTTTCAGAAAAGCAGCTCTCTTGATCTTGCTGATCTCCATCAACAAAATTTCAAAAACTTCGCTGAAAGACAAAATTTTTTAAACTACAAGAATAATTTATTTTTAATTAAAACATCAGCCCAAAAAATGCCTGCCTCTGTTCATTTGATGATATAAATGTTGACATGATTTGATTTGGATCTATTTTATCAAGTTTTTCTTTATAAATGTGTGCCAATAAACAATGATTAAGACGTGATTGAGTCATAGAACTTCGAAGTGTATTTTTCAATCGATTTAATACACTAAACGCTCTCTCAGAAGTTGCTGTAGTTACTGGAATAGTTAAATAAAGCCGAATTAATTTATCAAATTCTTGAAGCATTTGTTTTCCAATTTCACAAGTATTTAAAATTTCACAAACTGTAGAAATCTTGGTAATTAGTTTTATTTTAATTTGATTTGTGTTAATAACAACTTTAAAAAAGTCTGAAATCATAACTGCTTTAGATTTTAATCTTTCAATATCAATATCATCATGACAAAAATCCATAATTGTTTTAATGCAGTCATTGGAACCATCAGGTGGCTTATTAGATATATTAAGAATAAAATTTTCAACTGCACATAACAGTTTAAAATTCGTTTGTGTGAATCGAGTTCGAAGCATATTAATAGTCATTTCTAATGTTTCAACATATTATTTCTGATAAAAATCTTCACAACTTGCATGATTTACGGGATTTGTATTTGATTGATATCGTCGTGGAGGTTGTCGAAGTCGAGGTAGAACAGATCTTTTTGTGAAACCTTCACTATCTTTAACTACTTGATTATAAAACAATTCAAAATTAATATCATCTGAAAAAGAAGAAATGATAGTTTCAATAGATGCATTTGATCGTTTACAGAGTTTATTTTCTACCTTGAATACGTCGAAAACGATGAATAATTGCTTCAGCAGCACAAAAAACATCTTGTAAACAACAATCAGAACTTTGAAATGCACGTGATAGCTTTTCTGTATCTGTAAATATTAAATGACCTAGTTTTAATCCAAAAAAAAAGTCGAATTTGTTGATCTGCCCATATAAGCCATTTGCTTTTATACCAGGACCACCTTTTTCTTCACTTATTGTGTACAAAGCTTCTTGAACTAAAATTCAATTTTAATTTTAGATGTTTGAATGTTTTTTTAATCTATTTAAATGCTATCCAAGCTTTAACATGAGTGCTGGTGTACTTGAAATAACATCTCTGAACTCACCAAAATTTTCTGTTGTTTATGTATAGGAATGAGACTTCTAATGTGAAAGACTTACTTTGATAATGTATTTTCTATCGATGTATAAATTTTTTAAAAGCTAGCTAACGAAAAATGATACTCCTCGTTCCGATAAAGATATTATCGCATCACTAAGAATACTATTCGTACTTGACCGAATGTTTTCCTTGCGAAATTTATGTATCAAAAGAAACGAGAAGAGGGGCAGAAAATATTGATCGTTTTAAGATCATCTCGCTAATAGTTTTGAAGCTTTCGTCAAAATCAAGTGTTTTCATGATTTTGTTTTGCCATATATTATATGGTAAGCATTACGAAAATGACACAGCATTTTTTTTTAATATAAGCAAATATTGCTTTACCTTGTTCATAGTTTTTTAATAATGAACCATATGATTCAGCGTGCATAGTCCATCTATGTGGACATAATGCCGTAAGATTTGTATAAGACGATGATATTTAATTAAATTATTTCTTTCAAAATAACAAAACGTTTCGGTGATCGACGTATAAAATCAATAATATCTTTTACACAAAGTATGCAGTTACTAATATAAGCACATTGATCTATTAAATCATGTACAACTAAATCTAAACAATGTGCAACACAGTGGATATAAATAGCTTTTGAATATTGCTTCAAAATTATTGATGATACACCACCGTATATTCCAGACATGTTTGATGCCCCATCGTAACCTTGGCCGCGACAATTAATTATGTCCAAGCCACATCGAGTTATAGCATCATAAATTTCTTCAACAATTGTTAGAGCATTTTGTGCAGATATTTCATGTAGCCCTACAACATCTTCAAAAATTTTGTAGTTAGAATCAAAGGATCTAATGGTAATGCGTAATTGTTCAGTTGTTGATTCATCACATGTCTCATAACATATCAAAGAAAACCATTTTCTGCTCGAAACCTAGGTGAAAAAATTCAAATCATTTTCAATTATTATAATCAATTGAAAATAAAAACTTATGGTATTTAAAAATTTAGAGTAGAAAACTAGAAACGTTTGAGTCACTTTTTCTGTCTCTGTAGAATATATACAGCAAAATGTCAAGATTTTACATCAGACCTGTTGATGCGCTCTATTGTTCTATGGGCAAGTTATGTTATAGCATTAGTTCGTTTTAATAAAAGGACAACTATGCAAATTTGCATGAAAAATCTTCAGAGAAACTAATATTCTATTTAAATCTTCAAAATGCAATCTGTGATCCAGTTGAAGAAGCAGATGAATACATATTTATATTCATGCTATATTATAACCTTTAAGTTTTTCACATCCATCTCAGTCATACATACTTCTTTTACAATATCTCGAATGATTATTAAATATATTTCTCTGCAAATTTCATTAACAATATCATGTGATAAGTATTTCTTATTTTTCATCCATTCATTTAAATATTCATTATCAGTACTTAGAAGTTTTAATAATTGAATCAGATTACTGTTTTCGACGCAGTCCTCTAAGAGCAAGACCTTGTCGAAGTAGATATATGATGCATGAAATTTGAATTGAAAGATCTTGTCGACGTTGTTCTTGTTGTTTTTTAGTTGCTGATACAACTTAGTATTTATGTATAAAGTTATCTATCTCTCTGTATATATAATAGAGCATACTTAAGCAGTTTCATGAAATTATATGTAAGATTGATGAAAGTGTGAAACTCACAAACACTGACTTTTATAAATTTATGATAATTAGGGCTTACCAAAAGTTCTATCGTCCTTAAGCAAAAATATAAAGCTAACGAGATATTATAAATTTTCCTTCGTCAAACGTTCACGACGGTTGTTATGATTATTTATAGTAAGTTCAATACTTTGAAAACTATTTGTATACATCACATTGTATTTATTTAACTAATTTAATCTCGATCGATAGAATTATTTAATCATAAAGATTACGCAGCGCTAGATCCGGCAAATACGACGGATTTGACTTTATATTGATGTTTTTTTCTCACAAATAATGAGGTACATTGGATGAAGATGAAGCCAAAGATGATCGTTAAGTAATTTTACACTTTTGAACCTAATAGTTCTGTTGGTTTTCATATTTCATTAATGATACAAAGCTTTAAACAATTTACAGTATATTACTTATGATCTACAATCTTGCCACTATCGACACTATGTACAAAAATAGGACCATTTGATTTAAAGCATATACAAAACAAAGTTTTGTTTCAAATCTGTCTCTACGAATAACAGTCTTTGCTGATTCATTTAAACTTCTCCAGCTAGAATCACTTGGCTTGTTACCAACCTGTCTATAAAATAAATCCATATATCATAACTCGTAGTAATGGAATCCAACTGGCACGATCTTTGCTAAATTTAAAGTCAAATTTTTGAAACCGATCAAGTAAATCAAATATGATATGCACATGCAATTTCCAAGATACTTTAAATTTTTTTTCAAAAAAAAATTCAAAAACATGTTAATAAATAATTAGAAAGGATTTAACTTTCTATAAATAAATAATCATAACAACTATTATGAACATTAGATGATAGACAATTAAAAATATCCTCATATCTTTATATTTTTATTTAACGCCTACAGAAGTTTTGGTCAGTCATAAATATATTGTCAGAGCTTTCAAAATAATTTGTTTTAATAAAAATACAAAATAAATAAATCAAAATTATAGAATTTCTTATAGTTGATACGCTCGTTCTGTTTGTCTATTGAAACTGTATTTTTGTTGCATGAGTTGTTACGTAGACTAAAAAATGAATTCTGTATGATTATGAATGTGCCCGAACAATATAAAACAAACGTGTTGTGGAACTATACGAAAGCGTTCTTCTTTAAATATAGAGTGTCCAGTAGGTCACAAATTAAAGAAAACGTTGAGCATCTCCGCCATATTTTGACTTAATGAGATGATACTTTTACTACTGATAGAGGAGTACTCCTAGTTCATATACATAAGAAAAGCATACGCCAAGCTATTGTGAAGTATTACAAGTGATTCCACTCAAGAACTATGACTTTTAACGGATGATGAAAAAAACAATGTTGCAGTTTTCTCAACAAAATTGATTAAATTTATGCCTGAAACTTTCTGCAGACAAAGAGTAACAAGACATATATCTGTGATACAATTATGAGGTCGAATGCACCTTGGTAAAGAAATAATCGGGAGAATTTGGTGTGTCATTTATTTTTGGCTTGGAAAGAAATTTATCTTGTTTTTCTAACCTGTGACAGGTTAGAGGTCTTTGTTGAAGTTACTTATAATACTTCAAAAATGTTTTTACCAATGCTTCTCTTTTGACTATTAGGTATACACAGTGCTCTATAAGTGGTAAAAGTATCGGCTTATTAAGTCAAAATATGGCGGAGACACTCAATGCTTTCTTTGTTTAATGACTTTCTGGACACCTTATGTAATGACAGCTTTGCAAGTTTTTATAGAGAAGTCGCTTTGAAAACATTAATAACTTTTGTAGCTGTAACTCGACGAGCTATATCCAACTGTACTAAAAACGGTTAAAACATGATTGCTCAAATTTTGAATGGCTGGTTCCTTTCTAGGTTAAGCCGAATTAGTAATAAACAATAGAAAGTTGGATCATTGAATAAATGACAGATAACGTTATGAGAGTTTCAAAATCAAAAGAAAGTTCGTCTTTCTGGAATAACTTTCTATACAAAAAGATAGAGGTTTCCAGTTTTCGCTGTTGAAAATAAGAAATGAAACCGCAACGAATCATATACACCAAATTTTTCTGACAAGTTTTCTTAGAGTCTATCATCAAGTTTATTAAAACCAAAGAATTTCATAATGTGAAATTGTAGCATCTTAATTTACAAGAGTGCAGTAGAATCATTCACTAAAGATCTTTAAATGAGGCCAGACCGATGTTGCAAGGCTTCGAAAATCAAGATTTTTTAACAGTTTACTGAGCATTATCAGCAGTTTTTTTCACTAAAAATTAATTTTCCTTTTTTTTCTTGAAAAATTCACCATGCAAATCTATTTAAAATCTCCAATTTTCAAAACCTCCATAGAAAATGCTGAGAAATCTTATCAGACAAATTTCGTATAAAAGATTCGATGTGATTTCAACTTTTCTTATAAACGATGAAAATTGCAGATTTCTATTTTTCTTCTATCAAAAACCTACTCAAACAATGTCTAATATTCTTTCATTTTCAAATGGATTAATAGTTTATTACTGATAAATCCTATAATAAAGGAAGACAATTTAATATATTTATCTTGTGAATCACTTTTGAAAAGTCTTCATGTGCTGGTATTCTTTTTGCGTATACTACTTTTTATTGAAGATCAATAAAAAAACAATAATGAAGTGTAGCCAAATGAAGGGTGTGATTCAAGAAAAAATTATAAAAATCAAACATAAAAAAAAATAATCATCTAGTTTAACTATAACGTTTATCGAATTTTTTTTCTTGTTTTAAAGTTTTTATTTTGAAAGATTAAGTTGTTCCTTTGAACTTTTAATATGTTCTTTTAAACATATTTTCTTGTTTAAGATCATCAATTTGTTTATTTAAACACGTATTTCTTGTGTAGCACGATTGTTTTCTCCAGTTGAATGAAAAATTTCTTTTTTAACTCGATCAAGTTCAACTGTTAACATTCTATTTGACTCTAATAAATTTGATAATGTTTCTCGAGGTTGCCGATCAGAGTCAATTTGTTGTTGATTTAATTGTAGCACTAATTGTTGAACTTCTTGATGTAAAATTGTATTATCATTATGCAACATATTGTTTTGTTTAATTAATACCCTAATACCAACAGCTGCATTGGGTTGATTCTATAAAAAAAAGAACATTTGAATTCAATTGTTTCATTAAGATAAGACATTCTATCAAGAATCTTGATAGAATGTGGGTGTGAGTGTAGGTGTGGGTATGGGTGTGGGTGTGGATGTGGGTGTGGGTGTGAGTGTGGGTGTGGGTGGGTGTGAGTGTGGGTATGGATCTGTGTGAGGTTCTCTTTAGAGGATGTTATTAATTAATCTTTATTTTCTTTTTACGCTCAGTCAATGACGCGTTTCTTCCGATTAATTGATCTTTTGCTGAGAACTCACGTAATGAGTTAGTTTACCTTATGTAGGTATGTGATTATTAATGATTTGGAATGAGATCAATGATGAAATCAGTTTATTGAAGAATAAGTAGTGATAATGTAAATAACGGTAACAGAGAAGAGATAACTAAAAACAAAACAAAACAAAAANTTTAATTCTCTTCTTTTATTTTATTTTATTTTTAATTTTTAAATTTTAAATTTAAAAATTAAAAATAAAATAAAAGAAGAGAATTAAATAATGTCAATTATCTCAACCTTCTTAACAAAACAAGAATCGTTGCTTTCATACCTATTGATGAACATAAGTTCATTTTCATAAATCCATCTATATGACTAATAAAACATAGTAATAATATCATATTATTAATAGTAATTCTGACAAAAAAATTCAGCTTGACATTAGTGCAAATTTTGTTACGCCGTGGATTGAGTTTCAAACAAGCATAAAATTTGTCTTCTGTCTTATTCTCTCGTCTGCTCCTTTGTCTATATCTACATCGAACGAATCTCGTATATAACAGCAGATCTTCTGTGATTACTTTCATCAACTTTTTATTCATTATCAAGAGAAAAATTAGCAGTGCACATCGCAAATATGCTATGATTTAAGGAGCTGATATGTATTATGACGAACCATTTATATGAATAAATTATGTTCTCTGTTATAATTCAGATCAGGAGTGTCAATGTATATTTACTTTCAATTTAATTTATTCGTAAATTAATTCTATTTCTTTTTGATATTTTATCTGAATTAAGCAAATAACGAAAACAAAATTGTAAAAAGAGTACATTTTTACACGTTTATAACTAGTTAAACTGTTGAATAGATATATAGTATTGAACGCAAGAGAGTTTCCGTTTTGTACGGCTTTATTATCGTTAAAACTTTGACGCAGTTTTACGTTTTTTTTCGTTGATTGTCTAATTTGGATGAAATATTAAAAAGAAAAATAGAACAATTTAATTTGATATATAATTTAAGAAGTTATACAATAAAGGAAAACAATCTATTTTTTCAAAATAAATTAATTTTTGTATAATTTCAATTTATTCTAAATTAATAGGAAAATGCTCCCTAATCCAAATAAAATGTATATTGTAGTAAAAAAAAAGTGTCATATTTTTGTCGGGTTTATTTTTTGTTGTTTGATTTCTATTTGTTTTGTATGATTAAATAAATCATGCAATGGAGTGAAATCTGTACTCTTTCGCTATAGATCCATAATCGAAAAAAAAGCAAATCTTAATAGTCTTAAGAAAGAAATACAAAGACGAGAAATTCAATGAGCGTGCACTGTACACACAACACCTAAAAAGTAGAAAAGAATATTTTTGCTAAAAATAAATGTGTTTGTTTATATGAATGTTGATTTATTTTTATTATTATATGATCATATTCTGAATGATAAAATGAATGACTCGTTATAAAAGCGAATTAACAATTTTTGAATATTAAAATTTTTAAGTGAATGTGATGAGAGCTTTTTTAGCAGTAATATTATGTTGATAATCATTTAGCATGGTACATACTTTTATTGTCATAACAATAGTAAAATCTTTATATATTTTAAACCGTTGATCAAAAATCTCGAAAGCTTTTTCATATTGTTTAGAATCAATAATTTTCATCACTGCTGAGCTTAATTTTATCGATGAAGAAATCGTAAATTTCCCATTTCTTTCCTGATATAAGAATAATATGCAAAATTTGCCTAGGCAAAATTCGAATTTTTATTTTGATGAGACATAATTAGATTTTTAATATTGACTAGACACTGATTAATCAAAAGTGAAATTCCAATGTCGTCTAGACAAATTCAGAAATTGTCAGAGTTCTATGTTTGTCTGCAATAAATGTATACAAATTGTCATGCTTTCACCGAGCATCAAACAAATATTTACTGTTCTGTTTTTGTTTTTGTTTCTAATAGTCAATGAGAAAGAAAACATCGTCATCAACTTTTCTCGTCTTGCTTACATCACAGAACACATGAAGAGAAGAAAAAAAAAATTATCCCAGGGTCATAAAAAATGGCTGCAACTGTTTAATTTATAAGCCGAGCACGGGTTCTATATTTGTAGAACAGATCTTTACAAGATGTCAATTATCTAATAGGTTTGTCAGGAAAGCAATAAATCGCGTCACCATTTCACTTTTAAACAGATATTCCAGTTTCTAAACATCAAAAGTATCTAAGAAAGTCGCACTTCAGAAAAAGTATTATTATCACAACATTCAACAATCACATTTGATCGATTAAGGCTTTCAGAGTGAATGATATATAATAAAAAAACTCATATTGAGAACTTCACTATTCACTTTAAATAACGGCACAAATAAATTTCTGATAAAAGATATGAGACATGAGACATGAATGTTTTTTTAACGACAATTTTTCACCTAAATCATTCGAATTATAAACACAATATAGGAATAGAACAACTACTTTTGAGTATTGGGATGATTTTCATTGCTTTCATCATTTCAATGATTATAATGTGCTGTAAATAGGAAATGTTTCATTTGATAAAAAAACACAAATTTTATTTTTCATGATTCAAATGATTGAAATTGCATCGAGATTGTTGAGAATGTAGATGAAGAAAAGACCCACATCCACATTCTCATACTATCAACGTTTCGGTGCATTTTCTATGAGAATGTTTTTTTTCTTCGTTCTGTTTTTTTTTTCTGGCTTCTAAGTAGTTTGAGTCTCTTTCTCTGCTTTTCTTTCTTAATGAACATCCATATGCCGATAATGAGAAAAAAATACGCCCCCATAACGAAAGGGATCGAGGCAGAAAATATTACTGACGTCGGCGAACAAATAAGTGTGTCAATAAATAATAATAATAAAAAGAAGTCTCGTCAGTTGACTACAAGAAATAAACTAACAAAAGAGAACGTATTGAGTTCTGCGCCAACATACAGAACTGAAAGAAAAAAGTCTAATGCGTATTAGCGACGAGCAACAGAACAAGAAAAAAGCGCATGATGTCTATTCAAAAGAGCAAACTTGTCCTTGTCTCTTTAACACAAGAGTCAAGGACACGTCATAAAATTAGGTTACTCAGGCTTGGTATTTTCCAAATTTTCTATCGTGGAAGTCAAATTAACTATCGTTTTTTTTTAAACGCAATCAATAACTTCAATTTTCATCGCATTTACGATAACATACGCTCTTTAATAGTGATTTGTACTTAGAACGGCCGATATAATTCCTAATGTAGAGAAAATGTAACTCGCAACAAATATGTACCCGATTTGCACTCGCAAACAACAATAAAAAATATGATACAACGTCAATGTGTGCTCGTGCTTGCAGACACTATATAAGGAAAGGAAAAAAGAAAAAAAAATCATTCTACGCTCGCAGTCGAAGCACTCTGTTTAAAGACGTAGCACAACAACAAGCAGCAATACATCCAACGCAAATGTGAGTGTAATTTTATTTTTTTAAATTTCTATAGAAATTTTCTAAACGATTTCGTTTTAATATGAAGCCAAATATTCTAAACACAGCATGTTGTTTTCAATCTTGAATATTAGACCAAACTATTGACGATTAAAAGAGGATCCACCATAAGATCATTCAAGATTACCAGAGCAGAACCATTGATTTTCGACTTGCATACTGTCCAGCGAGACTTTTGCTTGATATATTAAAATTGAATATTAATTTTTTTTCTCTCGTAATCTTGGTAGGCATATGACGGATTCCCTATAAAATAAAAAAATGACATCGATTGTTTCGATATATAGAATCAACACTGGTAGATATGTCAGATGGTCTAGAACAAAATCAACCGACTTTTATTTCTTGAAAAATTTTAGCCTCATCAATACTTCTAACCTGCTTCGTTTCCCTTGACAATAGAAGATCCGGTGTTTTATGACGACGATATTAAATTTGACCGTTTGTAGCCTGAAAAGATCGTCACATTAATAAGACAATAAACTGAAATTTCGAAAACAATAGATTCAATAGATGGTATATTTTGCACTTTCTCCTGTCGAAATGCCCGAATGATTGGTTGTGCTATCGTTTCACGCCATCCTCGCTAGAAGGCACTATATAAAAAATTTGTTTTCAAAGGTATATTAGACAACACCAGATCTTCTCACACGGAGAAGTTACATTTTTAAATCAGAAGACGTGACGCCAAAATCTCTACAAAATCAAATATTTTATTGAGCATCAATTGTTTTGATTATTGTCGAAAGACGACAGTCAAAAAATGAACGACTCCGAGATTTCCAGATGTAAACGATGAAATTTTTTTAATAATCTTTCTATTAGTTGTGCTAGATCAAATAAAAAGGTTGTCTCTTTTATCGCAATGGTACGCAGCATGCATTAAAAGCAATGAGTACTATGACAGATCAAATAATATAGTGTTTCATTCAATGATGAAGTATTTTCGTCGTATTTCATAGCGTTTTCTTCCCGATGAGCTAGAATTCAAATAACCCATGAATATTTACGTGAGTAGAATATAAGTTCACAATTTCATTCTAAGTGATGGAATCAGGATTTTGCTAGTGTGGAACTCGTGGAGAGACTTGGCCTTCACTCAGCGGGGGTTCCGTCATCACGTGCGCTAGCTCCGATGAGAACTAGTAAGTCCAAAAACGAATATCTATAGATATAAATTAATTTGGTTCAAGTAAAGAAATATTTCGGCATTGTTTCATTGATCCTCTCGCGAATCTTAATATATCTCACAATGATCCTTCTGTACAAATAATGTGTCTTCATTGAGCTTCATATTTTTGATCGCACAGAAAATCTACAGAAAGTCTTTTCTATTTAGAGAATTTTTTTTTGGAGATACAAATGATATTGATCAGAGCGCTGTAGCATTTAAAAACGTCGATGTTCGTTCAAGTTGAATACTTTTTTAGGCTTATTCTCCTGATATCAACCATCAACATACTTCACACTCTTAGTGTGTCAGAATTTCGATCCAATAAACAATAAAACTTTCAGAAATTTCTATCCTATTAACATTTGCAAATATATTTCTCTGTCAACTGTTCCAAAATTGAGCTGTAAAACATTGTCGAAGACGTACCTTTCTTGATAATAATTACTCTAATATAATGCTGTCTTTGCATTGATTCATTTGCTCAATTATCTTTTGTCGTTTTCTTCAATTATTTTTACATAAGAGATTTATTATTTACCACTGATACCTCAATACTAAGCAAAGTAGCTATTTTTCCTCTTGTCTTACGCTACCTCTTGTGTATTTTACACTGTTGGTTACTCATCATTGTACTTCTTTTCTGATGTTTATTTGAAATCTATCCTATTCTTTATCGTTGCACTTTTTTCGATTTAGATTTCACTCTAAAAATTCATTGAAAAAGCCGAATATTTGCCACCAATTACACACATCAATAGCGGTATGGCTGAAAGCATGCATATTACAAATGGTGACTTACAAGAAATTGAAGATATCAAACTGCAGAAACCCACCTTTTATAATCAATACTTACCATTTGGCGAAACAATTAGTCGACGAGGTTCGGCATGGTTCGAAGAAATTCGAGAGAATTTATCGCGTACCATTCAAATGGGGGACTTACGACCGGGTTTTGTAATTTGGTCGTATGAATTGCACCAATTTCTTTCACTCTATGGGTTCTATTTTACCAAAGTCGAGCATATCAAACTTATCGATTTCTATCTGTCTGTTCTTTCTATTACTGATTTGAGTTTTGGCAATGTACAAATATGTCTGGATAGATTATATGATCTTTTACGGTTTGTAACTATTTATTTCTTATCTTGCATCATTAGGACAAAACACATAGGATGAAATTTTCGAATTATATGATAATGTTTTTGTTTTGCAGAAAAACTTGTTTAATCACTCGAGATGAACTAACAATTGATTGGCGTCTGCTTTATCATTGGGCTAAACTCATCTTTGACAATCATGATCAATATCATGCATTGATCACTCTGCCGAAGTTCGTGTCCGACTTTTCACAATCGAAAATACTTAAAATTTGTTAATTATGTCGTTTTTTTTTGTTTCTCAGAGACATTATGGATTCCTTCTTTTCCTGTGTGTTCTACTGTTCTCCATATTTTTCGACAACGGCAACACAAGAAATTCTCGACGAATTTCGTCCACATTTGTGTCCGACCGATTGGACCTTTGCTAATACTATTCGAATGCTTGAACTCTTCTTGCCTGTACATTTACCACCGAATTTGCATAATCAAGGATTTAAGTTTGTTTATTTTATTTTCGAATTCGACATTGTATAACATGCATCATATTTTAACTTCAGATTGTGGTTGACAGAATTTTTTGGTATTTGGGACAGTATATATAATGATGTAGTATGGGAATTGGTGAGATTGTTTATTTTTTATGTTTATTGGCTAGTATTGTTTTATTTAGCGTCTGACAATACTTTTTTCGTGTGCCGCTTGGTATAATATTGGATATATCAATTGGGAACCTTGGATGTCACAGGTGATAAATTTGTTGATTCTGACATTAAAAAAATTTTCTTAACATTTTTTCCTGTTAGATCTTCACACGAATACTCAGAGGCTTTTCACTTCCAATTAGCAAATTACAAATGTCACCACAAAAATACAGTTATTTAACGTATTCTATTAGCAGATGGATCGTTGCCATGATGGGCAATCAAAGTTCATGCCTTCAATATTTGCGAGATTTGTTCATTGCCATCAAAAGTTTCTATCATCCATCGAATACGGGAGATTTTCAAGAGGAACTTGTCAGTTTTGTCTTAAACCTTTCGTATTGTTTTGTCGAGCGAGTTTATTTGTGAGTACAGACACTGTACACATTTATGATATCCATATGAATTCGGTAAAATTTTATAGCGAACGAAAACCCTGTCCTGTTTGGCACTTCTCACTGCACGAATCATATCGACTGACTGAACAGGATATCACTGATTTTGTCAATTGTGTCAAAGAATATGCGTTCATTTCCATTTTTAATAAAGATCATGCCAAGAATGCGACTGAAGCCTGTCAATATCTATCGATGCTCCGACCAGAATTGATCGTACCACCAATTGTTGAAAAGTATGATACATATTTTGTTCTTTTTCTTTCTCGATAACTTAATCTTTTATTCATTCATAGACTCTTTGCATCCATTGACAATACAAATGAACCACATCGATTCACATCGATCATGACTTGTCTAACACGTATTACTCGTCAATTAGTACGACAAACACCTGGTTATTCTCAAGGACAAACTTATGTGTTACCATTAATCATGTCTGTGTTACCAGGTATTGATTTGAATGATTTCAAAAAGACATTAGTTACATTGGAATTTCTCAATACAACATTTATGCTTATTACATGTGTTGATTGTTCATCAGCAGTACATATTCGAAATGATCTAACCGAGGTGATTGTTTATTTTGGTTTTGACAAAAAGTTGTTATCTTTACTTTCATTTTGATAGATTGAAAAAAATGTTTGTTTATCAACAGCAAAATTTGACGATTTTATCAATGAATTTCTTGATCGTATTTTTCGAATGATTAGAATTTTATCGACTGATACGTCTGATGCGACTGTAATAATTGATGAGACGAACACGGAAGATAACACTCTCGAATCGAAACTCACATCGATCATGACCAATATTGTTCAACAATGCAGTAGTAAAATCTTTCGAGTATGTATATGTATATGTCACTATATGTTCATAAAGTAAAAAATCAACAAAAACTTAATCAAACCTCAATTGTTCTCGAGAATAATTGATCTTCTCTCATCAGTTATTATTTGGTTGCTACATGATCATTGTATGTTTCCAGTGTTTATTGTGTGAAACTCTGATATTAGGTCAGGCTTCAGAAAATAATCTGTATGGATCTCTAGCATCTATAAATTTTTTTGTCTAACGTAAAATTTTGTAAGTCAAAAGTTGTCCTTTATTTTGACCTTTTAATTGTGCCAAGAATTTACATCAGAAGAAAACGAAATGTTTCTTCTCACCCTACAGCTGAAGAGTAAAATATCTTTGTTTTTATCAGAATATGCGTTGTTTTCTTTTTCTTCTCAATGTGATCATAAACAACTAAGAGAACAACAGGCACAATGCTTGTGCTCTTTTTCATTTGGAAAAAAAACACCTCTTTCAAGAGAATATAAATGAATTCTTCAGTCACATTATAGAAGCACGTTCATATTTGAATAAAATCATATTCTAGAATTTTGATCTGAAAAATAGTTCAAAAAAGATCTCGCTAAGATTATCTTAAGTGCAAAACCTCAGAATTTTCAAAATATAGGCGATTTAGCATTGATCTTATGTTCAATATATACCTTACAATATGATTTTATTCAAATATTGGAATACTATGGATTGAACAAAATATGAACTCAATAGTTTTTCATCATTGGGGAACTTTTTCCTCGCCAGTCATGATTTCAAACTGACCAAGCTGGACTTTATATATTCTTAACTTTTTTTGTGTGTTCAATATTTAGATGATCCGAGAGAAGATAACAGATTTTCTGACTTATGCATGTTGGCCTTCCAAAGTGAGAAAACTTGTCACTGGTCTTGTTCGAGCTATTATCATGGGCGATCCAGTCGAAACACTGAAGTATCTTTTACCAAAAACATGTGAATCTATCAACAAGATCATGAATGATCCAGAAGGAAATGCTTTATTAACCGATCACAAAGGTGACAAAGAACTTACCTGGTATTTAGTTCTTTTCTCGGAACTTGTCCGTGTTCGTGGTGATGCTCTAATGATTTACAAAGAAATGATTATCTCGGTGTTTCATCAATGTATACAAATTATTCATAAAGGTTCATATAAAGCTGTTGCTAGTGCAGCTAAGCATTTACTCAAATCACTCACTCATATATATATGATCAATACTCGATTGACAGTTGAAAATATCGATGGACCATTTATCGACTTTTTGCCTATACGAGTGAGTTTTTCTCATTCCATGCTCATATATCTGATTGATTACTTGTATGATTGTTTAGGCATGGGGTCAACCTGTCGATGTCGATAAAGTTCAAGTTCAATTCCATATACCTAATGATGATGAACTTGATTTTGTTCGTGAATTTGTTGAGACATTCTTGTATGTCGAACTGGATTTATTGAAGGAGAAAAGCTCGAAACTATCCAATGGTGAACGATTGAGATCACTGACAATTGTTCATCACATCGCCATTGGATGTTTTCGCATAGTGTCACGTATCGGTAGTCCAAATGTACAAAATTTGTGAGTAAATCTAAAATATGAAAAACGTTTGAAAAAAAACAATATTGTACTATTGTTATATTGTGTCAGAGTACCAACAGTTGTTCCCTACAGTGCACAATCTCAAGCTCAATATTCGATGTATTTCAAAGAGCCTAGTAAGAAAAAATGTTTCCAAAGAAATGATACTTATCAGATTGATTATTTTTTTCAGAATTTCGAGAAAATTTGCGATGGCGTCTTCTCATTAACATTGGAAAATTACTCGGTTAGTCTTTTATTAATGAAGCATTTCAAATATATTCTGTTAATTTTGTAGACATGCTTGTAGACAACCAGTCGGATGACGTTTCATCCATCAAAATGGCACATAAAGTAAGCATTAGGATCATGTCTAGTGTTAGTCTTTTCGTCAATGCACATGCTAAATTGTAGATCTACTCAGCCATATCTATCGGCTATGGCGTATCTAAACAACGTACTAATGAATTGCACAAAGAATTTCAATCTAGCAAACAGTTAATAAAAAATAGACTCTGTGGTGAACGACAAAATCCTCGATTTTTAACTATGAAGAGAATATCGTTACAAATCGAAGTAATTGAATAAGGCAAAAGTAAAGACAAATAAGACTGATTCGCTTGTTTTTTGTAGCTATTCGAAATGATTGAGTATGGAACGTTGACTGAAATCGACAAACAAGTCGCACTAAAATTGTTCGAACTATCAATAAATCGATACAGTGAAGTAAGTTAGAACATATGTTCTCCAATGATATTCACATCTCTTTTCGAAATTTTAGATACGTCGTCATGCACAAATCGAATTGTTCTCCGTTCTTAGTCGTTATCGTTTTTCATTACAAGTTATTGTCGATCGTATTATAGAACTACTCAATACATCGAGCGAAGTCGATCATGATCAAATCAAAGTTGGTTATTATGGGTTTTCTTCTCCTAGAAATCTTCTTTTTTTTTAATCCATATTTGTCTAGGGTTGTCTGTATATTCTTCTTGGCAATAGTGCTTGTTTCTTACCTACGAAAGACTCGTGGACAACAATAGAAAAGTTATGGCCAGCTATGGTGCGTATGAATCATGCGAACAAAATTAGTACACAAAACTTGATCAGTGATATCAAGAAAAAAATCAACAGAGATTTTGTGACAAGAGAAATTATTCAAAATACTAACGAGGCATCAATACGTTCGGCAGTCGTTCTATGGCGTTCGTTAGAGTCGAACAAAATGGAAACACATGAAGTACGTAACCAAGCCAATATTCAATCGTATAATAACCTGATGAAAAACCTGAGTTCGCTGTTGAAAGACAATATTTTGTAAGTGTTTAATTTTCATATTTGAAAATAATTTTTGTTCTATATTTTTTTTTCTCGATGAACATACAGAACATGGAGACAACAAGAGATGGCAATGTCATTCCTTTGTCTTCTTCTTCAAAGACATGTACCAATTTCATCATCATGCATTCACACATTTCTTGATCTTCTTGTTCATGATAATATTGAATTGAGAAAGGTTCGTTGATAAATGCCTACAGAAAAATGAATGATCTTTCGATTAATTCTATTTAGTATGCTACAAAAGGTATAGCGGCAATTTGTCGTTTGCAAAAACCACCTCGAATCTATGTTGAAAAGTCTTTTGATGAGCTTCTTCACGAAAACAAGAAACAATCGTCAACAGTCATCATGCGTGATGAATGCAATCCAGGCGATCGAAACGATAATTTTTGGGTAACAATTGATGGTTATAAACCACCCGAAACTCAAACTGAATGGGAACAAATGTGCTTTTTGGATAAAACATTTCATGGTTATTACACATGGCCAAAAGTGATTAAATATCCGATGAATAAACGAGCACGTTACACACAAAATGATATGCCAGAACAAGTGGCCATCATTTATAATCGTTTTATTGACAAGAACTTTATTATACAATCAACAAAATTAATGATTTCAGATGAGAACACTGACGAGATCATGTTCATTTATGTCCGATTTACTATGTTCAAGGTAATATATACGAGTCATTTCTTCTCACATGAAATAGATAAATGATTTGCTGTTTCTAGTGTCTCTTCCGCAATTTTGGCCTTGCATTTGTTGATAATTTCATGGAACAATTGTACGTACTCATTCATGAAAAGACACACGAGAAGCAAGAAGGTAGCCATCGAGTGGCAGCCGAAATTGTAGCTGGAATGATTCGTGGTTCAAAATATTGGACATTAGAAATGGTGAGTAGAAATGTTTCATTTTCGACTATATTGACTTCGTTTGATCATGAATATGAAAGAAGTGTCTACAGTTATAAATGATGATCGACTTTCAAATTGAACATTGAATATTTACTTTAGCTTGATGAACTCTGGAAGAAGCTCAAACCATTTCTTACCGAAGTTTGTCTCAATCTCAGCTCTGCAACACTCCGTCACTGGAATACATGTTTCAAGTGTGTCATGGTCAGTAATTCACTATTTTGGAGATTGTTGATTTTCTCTTTCACTTACTCATTTATTGATCTATATTAAAGGAACATGGAGATCCTCGTCGAATGTATCGACTTATTGATTTTATTCGTACATTGATCAATAATCAAATCAGTTCGAATACTTTCAATGAAACATCTCGTTGGTCTCTCATTCAAACTTTGAAAATGTTTCAATGGCGTATTCCATCAATTTGGTGCACTATATATGAACATGCCAAAGAACTACTTGATCATTCATTCAAACCTGTCCGCGAACATATTGCCGAGTAAGAGATTTTTTAATTTCCTATGTTTGTAATGAATCATAACAAACGTTTCTTCTTTTTTTTCTGATTTTGAATAACCAGTATTCTGTCAATGTCGTTCAGCTTTGATGTGAGACTATTTAATGGGGAATCAACACGTCATCCTAATATCAATCAATGCATGGATACTATATGTGAAAGATTGCATCAAGCTATCAAAATTTATGAAAAGACGCCTTTGGGTAGGACACAACTTTCCTCGTCATTTTTTTTTCTTCATCTTTGAAAGGTTATTCTCTGTTCAAATGACATGTTCAGTCAGTATTTACGGTCAGTTCATTGAAATCGATGTCGAAGCTTCGAAAGCGTTGAATTTAATTGAGACAGGTAAAGATATTATTTTAGTTGCTAAAAACTTATAACATAAAATGCTTTCATTTTCATATAATACAATCCAGTAATTCTAATGCATACAAATTTGTTTACTTACTGTCGACAACCAATCAAAAATGCGATTCTTCGCATGTTTCCCTATGTATGTATATTCATGTTTAACTTATGAAAATTAATAATTCGTACCATGAAATGAAACTGTATCAACAATACTATTTTTCAGAGATAGATTTAATTAGAGAAGAAGTACCGCATTGCTTTGTATTCGTTTTATATACAACTAGAAAGATCCGAAGCACTTGCGATTGGCGTTTGATCGCCTATTAAAATTATCGTGAAACTCTTAGAATATTAAAAATTTTTACTTTAGTTACAGTTTGGTTGAATTTGAATTGTCACACATAAGTTCTGTCATATTGTATTTCTTCATCATTTGTTTAGCTGTGTGAAATTGAAGGTATCGCGGCTAATGATCCTGTTTTTAAAAAAAATTTGGCAACCAGTCGAATGTATGTAGCTATGGCTTATTTACATGGAAACTATTTGGAAACACTGATTGAACAATTGGAACAAGTACGTACACAAATGAAATTGGAATGAATGATCAGTAGCTTTTCGATAAAAAAAATGAGAATATTCACATAGAATTAAAATCAAATGACTAATATCTTTCTATAATGGGCCCAATTAACCTATTATTCAATAGAATATATCCATTTAATTCTAACAGAACGGAGACATTCAGTTTTCTATCGTAAAGTTGCTTATGATCGAGTCTGTCGATCATAACGATTGTTTTTTTCTCTCTTGACATACAGGTATGTACAAGTACTAAATGGCATGCACGTCAAGCGGCTATTGAATTTGTTCAAAGTATGATCTTTTGTAATCTGTTCAATGCTCGTCCTTATGCTAAACGACTACATGAACTTGTGCTCAAATGTGTATTCGATGAACGTTTCGAAGTTCGAACAGTCGCATCAATGACATTGTCAGGCTTGTACCAGTGTGGGTACATTCAAATGATCGACTATGATCTGGTAGGTTGATTCTTCGCTTTTTTCGATTAATATCAAGTAAATTCTAATTTGAATATTTTCAAAGAAATATTTTCGTGTCATGGCCAAAACCAAGTATTTTATGAAGATCGATGGAAAGAAAGTGAAATCGCCAAAGAGTATTGTCAAACGACATGGTGGTAAGTATATGTGTTAATAAAATCCATTGAATTTACTGTTACACATAATGTTGAGCATAAATTGACACTATCAGTCAGATTTAACTGTAGTTCTGAATATAGAGACACACATTTTCCTGTACATCGATAACAAATCGTCATTTCTTACCGATATATTGTTTGAATAAACAATAATTTGTTCGTGCTGAAACTTTGAGAACATTCTTCTTTAAGTCTTTATAGTCGAATCTGAAACTATTTTTTGTAAGCTTCCAGATATTTCAATATTCAGTGTTGATACTTCGAACAATAATATCTAATTTTGGTTATCATTCATTGTAGGTATCTTGGGTCTCTGTGCGATTGTCCTCTCTAGTCCATACGATGTTCCAACTCATTTACCAGACGCATTGATGATTCTCTGCGAACATTCTCATGATCCTGATCCCATACAAGTAAGTATTTTTCTTGTTGTGATTATAGTATAAAGCAAACTGTTATTTCTCTTTAGAAATCGATTAAACAATGTTTATCCGAATTTCGTCGCACTCATTACGATTCATGGCATGAACATCAGAAAAAATTCACCGAACGTCAACTTTTGCTTTTAGCCGATGCATTCATTTCTCGTAGTTATTATGCCTGAAAGTGCGATGATATATATGCATGTGTGCGTGTGTGTATAGTTTAGCATGATATTTTATTTTCTTCGACAAAGGAAATTTTTTTCTGTAACCGAAATAAATCACTTACATGCTCGCTGCAAGCAGAGCTTGCTGAAACAGCACAATAAAAAGTTTTCTTACCATTAACTAGCGTTCGATATTGGAACTTAAGAACACACCCCCAACTCTACCAAATCTACTATAAAATTAGTTACATGTACCAATTCCTCGATGAAAGATGATGATAGCACAGGTAGCAGAGACCGTCACAGGGCACTTGTTTTATGTCCTGCCCTACCCTGTGCCCTACTTTGTCCTGCCCTGCTCTGAAGATGGATCATAATTTTTTTTTCGCCCTGCCCTCAGGACAGAGCAGCGCTACTAAATTGAGTTTACTTATTACAAGAGTTAAAAAATTGATAAAAATTACGTGGTTGCCTTCAAATTTAGTATTAAAACTTTATTCATGTAGATTCGAAAAAATGTCGCAATCAAACCCAGTATACGATTAAAAAACATCACGTACCAGAGAACAACATCCATGTTAAAACTGAAAGACAAATCTAATTTTAATGAACTTTTTCATGTTTGAAATTTGATTAAAGTGTTTCTATTCTAATAAGATTATTCAAGTTTTAATCATCTTTAATCACAATACGGATGGAACGCATTTTTCTGAATTTTTAATTTGAAAACTCCAGTTTTTTCTATCGACTCCTCATCCCGCCTACAATAGTAAGTGTAACACTGGACCAATCTTTGACACATACCATACTTCAAAGTACGATACTGATTGGTACTAACTCGTGTAAATCAAAATATCGACAAATTAAACTCTTCTACCCTTCTGTTCTACGTAGGAGTGTTACTTTATTTTTATTCTTTCTTTATAATAAAGGATAAATATAAATAAAATCTTTATCTTTATAAAATTAAAATAAAGAAATTCTGTATGTTTGAAAAATAAATGTCAATAAAAAAAAAATAAATCTTTATTATTTAAAAAATAAAGATAGATAAAATCTTCATATTTATAAAATAGAGATAAAGAATTTATTTATGCTTATTTTATAAATATAAAGACTGTATTAATATTTATTTTGTAAAATGACGATAAAGTAACACCCATAGTCCCACGGAATAAAAAATCATAGCCTTCTATTATGGAAATTCATATCGCTTTTCCAAAAATGGCCTTGTATTGCGAGCTAGTTTTTTGCTCGCATTTACCTAAAAAGTCAAGGGTGTGGATGTGGGTAGAGGTGTAAGCCATCCAGCTGCGCCGCCGCCGCCACGAACGAAAATTTTTGATAATAGTATGATGCGCCGCCGCCACTGACATCGATACATATGCGATCGGTCATTTTCTCGCCTTTTAGGAGCAAAAACTTTTTTTTTGTTTTGGTTGTCAAAGCCGCCGCTGGTGCAGAAAAACATAAAGCACAGTAGCCGCCGCCGCTATGGAAAAAAACTTTTACAATTAAAGCCGCCGTCGTTTGACCTTTCGGCTTACACCTCTAGGTGTGGGTGTACGTGTGGGTATATATCCCTTCTCAACACCCGCACCCACATCGGCACCCACATCCACACCCGATATAGACTAAAGTTTCAAATCAAGGATATTGGAAGCTAAAATTTTGAGGTTGACAGTTTCAGAATCGATACATTGAATGTGCAGAAAAAAAAGAAAAAGTTTTTTTTTATCCAGCGTCTGATATATTGGCATGACACTCGGTGATCTCATGGAAACTCTCTTCATCATACACTTATGGATTACATTTCTTACCGAGTCTCGTCAGATTTTCATCGATTAAATGGACAATGGGATGTGTTCTGGTCCCATTTCTGCAAGTTGATTTTTCGGCATTTGAGAATTTTATTGTTCAAATCATATGACATTTAAATGGATTATTTATCTTTGTATGAGCATATCATAGTAAACGAATATTGCTTCTAATTTTCTTTTTCTAAATCGATCTTCTTCAAGATCATCTGTTTAGAATCTCGAAAATGAGAATGTTCAAAGTATTTTAATACTATTGTCTCTCCAAATGTGTTACATTGTTCCAGTTTGTTCGATTTATCAAGAACTTTAAAACCGCTCATATTATGCCAATTCGTCTGAATATGCTACTTTTGTGTTCAAAGAACCATTTAAAATAGCTTCCTATTCTAATAACAACCTACTTACTAAGAATGCATACTATAGTTTATTATTTGTCTTTGTTTCTACTGTGATGGAATAAGTTGCGCTACATAGTAAATAGTGAGATGATATTTCTAAATCTGAGCTGTCTTAGAATCTATAGTAAAAGCAAGTCAAGTAAATTATGCCGCTCCATTTGTCAATACAGTTAGAGAAAGAAAGGGAGATTTTTTAAAACGATTTGTTGCATCTGAGGGTTACAAAAGAAAGTTAAATTTTAATCTACATGCAAAGCTTTTATTGAAGAAAATGTCATAAATTTAATTTTTGATAACAAAATTATCCAAATAGTTATCTGACCAAGGATGAAGGTTGGCCAAGGATATTCAGATTATTTTTTCGTCGATTGAAACGTGAGATAAATGCAAATATTCGCTCTTCATTCGGTGAGACCGAGAGCTACAACAAGGCTTTGGTCTCAAATACTGCTGCTTCGATATTAGTGACACTTTAGACAAATGAGGTAGAACTTTTCCTGTGCAATTCGTTCGTATGAAACTGCTCAGCTATGTTAAAGAAAAAGTGAAATCGAAGTTCTCAAACAAGTCTTACCTATAAGTATTTCATACTCAAAATCGATTGAAATACAACTCCTAAAAAGAATTCGACAACAATCTGCTTTCTTGTAATTTACAAGAATACATATCATTCAACGTTATAGTTAACAGAAACATTTGAAAGACATGAAAATGTCATTCAATGAATATCGAATATATACTAAGAGGTCTTTTTTGGATTCGTCGGAATGATGTAATAAATCTTGCACAAAAAGATTATTTGATTCTACCATTTGTTACCGAGATATCATAGAAATTTTACTCGTATTCCTACTGCATGAATTTATCAGTAATAGCTATGCGACTATAATGTGACATTGAATTATGTGGATTATAGTAAGTTACAGATTGAAATAAAGAAGTTCAATAATGATTATGACATTTTTCTTCAATGTACCGACTCAAATCACAATCAATGGTCATTGGTACATCATTGTATTCACTGTTGATGAGCATCAATCCGTTCAGCTAATGTTAATGAGACACGAATTAAAACTATTGTATTACAGTATTCGAATATTTGTCTTATTTCTTTAATTTCAACAAAATAGTCGTATCATATAAAATATAAGACTAAGTTCATCTTGTAAACAAATCTAATTAAGCAACTATGAATAAATTTGTTCATACAATAGTATCAACAGATTGCGGTATCGAATCTAATCAAGAATTATCGATAACCAGAAGTTTTTCTGCGACCCATAGAATCTTGTTGACATGCAGAACGTGAAAGGATAAAATTCCCCGAAGAAAAAACAAATAACGAACAAAACCTATTCAATAGATGAAGAACGATATCAGACTAGAAGTTAGGTTGCTGACTACCATAAGTACTCCAAAGTCTTCTCTAGTGATTTATTCATATAAAAAAAATTTCCTTGTCGTCTATATTTCGAAAGCTCATTTTTTCCACATTCCACTGTCTCAAAAACTTTGGTTTTTTGACTATTTTTGAATACACTGTATTTTTATGCATTTTTCATTAAAATGAGTGAAGCATATTCACAACGTTATTTACAGTTTCTCTCTAATCATTACTTACCATCTTATTTCTCTTTTCATTTCTCTTCTTTTTCTACTTATCTGTTTGTTCATGTGAAGAAAATACGAAATAAATGAATCAAAGAAATAAAATTATGTTGATAATTGTTCACATTGAATGGCCAAAAGACAAATTAGATTCCTTAAAGGATCAACTTGACAAGGCCAATTCGTCTAGTTTATCAGTTAGAAAAATTGAAAGAAGCTTAATAATTTTTTTTAATAACCTTACTCATGATTACTGTTATCACTTTTGTACCTTTCTTTGCTTCACGCTCCTATGTAATTTTGTTCGGTACTTGAAACCTACCATTGCTCATCACGTGATGTCAACAACACAGACAAAAAGATAAAAATAAGCATGATGAGAAAAATAACGCTTGAGAAAAAGCGTCGATTGGAAAATACCCAATGACTTTTACCCAGTAATTTATACGTATTACACTCAACCATTAATCAAAATAAAACAAGCATTCAACGTTAAACACTTGATTTCAGCGTAAGTAGACTGTAAGTATTATTTGTTTTTTTTTGACTGTGTAACCAACGATAATTAACACTCACATTGTCCGAGAGAAAGAATAACGATGACCCTATTCATCAATAGAGACAACGGAAAAAGATCACCAAATGAGACTATTTCTTTTTTTATTGCATATAACTGTTTATGAGAACATATTACAAATACGAAGAAACAATAATAAAAGTTAGATACAAGCACGAAAATTAAGACTATAAACAGGACAACAATCTGATTTACTAAATGAAAAACACTACCATTCGAAACAAAGCTCTTTTTCTATATTTTCGGAACAAAAGAGAAAATGAAGCCTGTAGTCAGGCAATAATAGTCTTACACGAGTAAGAATTTGGATGTGGGCGTGGGTCTTCGCTTCATCTATCCACACCCACACCCTATTATTATTATTCTTCTTCTTCTGCTTCAACCATGCGTTCTCTTCCTTGCTCGTTTTGATCACGCATTGTTTTCATAAAATAATAACGAAACGTCATACTCACATGATAAAGGTAAATTCAATTTTTTCCGATTGTCATCTTCAGTTACGTGCACGCTAAAGGAAATTACCTCCTTGTGGAAAAAAGTTTCTTCGTTAGGATCAACTATTGGATTCTTTCTATATTTATTTTGTTGATTAATAGTACTGAACGTTGAACAATTTGTCGTCAAAATATGGGGAACAAACTGGAATCATTAAAAAAACACGTATTTCATCGTCGTGAAAAAAAAACACGCTCGTTCTCGTTTTTAAAGATATCATCCAGAGCGTCTTCCTCTGGATAAATTAACAACACTTAATCGTATAACACAAGAGCTTGATCCACTAGTAGTGTCTACCACAACAATACAAACAACGGATTCATCAGATGATTATACCGATTTTTATGTGGCATGTCGTGACAATAACTATAAGAAAGTTCAAGAGCTACTTCGAACAATGACACTTGATGACGTAGATTGTTTGGAAACAAACGGTAGTACAGGACTGCATGCTGCATGTTATTATGGTCATGCTAGAATTGTTAAATTATTATTGAAAAAAGGAGCTGACAGAGCAATAAAGAATAAGTATCAATGTTTACCGTATGATGAAGCAGCGAATGATGGCATTAAAGAACTTTTTCTTCGCGTACCAAATAGTAATCGACTTGTATCGGATACTGGTGCTATTGAATGGATATTGATTGATGATGATGTCATGAAAAAAGCGAAAGAAGAGCGACACATAATTAAATCATTGTATGACAATAGCACAGGTACTACTCCTATAGATAAAATGTTCGAAAAAATTGAAAAAAATTATATTAACAAAGGACTAACTAATATTAGTGGTATTAAAAATATTAGACGTTATTTTCGAAAAGCTACTGAAGAGCAAAATATTTTATGGATAATCAAAGCTTACACAGCTGAAACAGATTTCTATAAAATTTTGAATAATGAAATAGCAGCTGGTGCTAGTCAGTATCAAAATGAACGAAGGTATATTATAGCATTAATTTCACATGATTTACGTTTGGACGAATTCACGTTTATCGGTACCGCTTATCGAGTGCTGCGAATAAATAATGATGATTTAAAAAAATATGAAGTTGGTTGTTCGTTAATGACAAAATCATTTGTGTCGTCATCCATCGATCGAAAAGTTGCCGAATTATTTTTATGTCAAAAAGAAGCAGCACAATCAGAAGCTCAAGTAATGACACGCAAGAAAATTGATGGAACATTGATAAAATCATGGATTATGTGTAGATATGAAATCAAACATAGACGTACTGGTCTACATATTGAAAATTCATCTCAATATGCGAACGAAGGTGAAATCTTGATTATGCCATATTCTGTGTTTGAAGTGAAAGACAAGAAAAGTTCAACTTTCATGTTTTCAAGATAACCAATTTATGACTGAAATCAATCTAGAAGAATGTGCTGAATATTTATAAATATAATCAAGAAAGCCAAACGAAGTTATCCATTGAAAATTTTTTTGTAGTTTTAAGTAGTTATCAGTTCGTTTTATTCTCACTGTCATCTTTTAATAACAAGAATAATCGTGATCAAAGAACTCCGATGATTAAAGATAGAGATCTGCCGCTAGAGGCTGTCAGATTCGCACTCGGTTATATAAAGATTTCTCGTATTTATCTCAACGTCAAAAAAAAGGAAGCTCGTTAGCGCAGTTCCTTTGGAGCTGAAATGTGGAACTCACATATATCCTTAAACCTTAATATCCTAAGACATCATATGTAAACTGAAAAATTTCTTGTACACTGTAGTTGTTTTCATTGATAATCGTTGACAAGAGCGAGACTTTATTATTTATTTCTACATTTAAAATAGACAATTTTTTTGTTTGAGAGCGCCCGATTTCATTTATAATTGTTGTTATGCACTCGATATTAGTCTTTTTTGGTTTTTTTTTTTGAATTGGACATTATTATGCTTTTTCACCATCGACTATCTCATAAATCAGACTGTTATAATAATGCACTATATACATGTATGCCTCAGCAGCTCTTACCGTACTATTATATATCTGAATCAACTCATAAATGGTGATATCGTTTATTTTATAAACTGATAAAAAGATCGAATCATACTTTTCATGTTGATTACATGATTGCTATGACAGATCAATCTAGTACTCCTCTTCATTCTTCATTTTTAAAATACAAGTTTAAATTCTAAAAAAAGTCGACGATATCGCTATTAAGAACTTTAACAGATATATGAAAGTTTTTCAAATATTAATGAAGGTGTTGAAATATTGTATAACAGTCAAGCCCGTATTCTTTATACTGTTCAACTTCCTTTTTTTTTTATTAATAAATAAATCTGAAGCCTGTTGCGCGCGATTGCTGAGGTCTGTAATGGGGAGGGGAAGCCGCGAAAACTTGAACTTAAAACTTACACTCAATATTTTCTTCGAAAATATATGTGAGTTCCACAAAATTAAAAATGAGAATGAGGATGGCGATAGAAATGTGCAGTTTCAGTTTACTGATCATCGAATTATCGTAGTCAGTGCATACTAGCACCAATGTTCACTAAAGCAGTGGAACACACCGCTACAAACAGATATCTCAATATTGCAGTAACCATGTATGTCAGTGGATGTGATTGTGGGCGAGTGTGAAGTGTGATTGTTAATCTAGACTTCCACTACACGACAACTAGCGTAGTTTCAAGCAAACTGACATCCATAGTCGCACACATACCCGTGCCCTATAATAAATATCTTTCATACGTTACACAAAATCAGAAAGAGCAGGAAAAGCACCGAAACTAAAAAAATCAACATTTCACTCTGACTTTGATGCCAAACTACTGTAACTTTTTCTAGGATCACTTTAGATTACACATTTTTCATAAGTCAACTACAAAGAGAATACAAAAATATTAACTACGAATCTTACTAGACAGTTTATCGCCAGATTGTTTTTCATCTCATTTTGAGTTTATGTTAAAACGAATATGATTGAATGTAATGTTAGCCGTTTCTGAAAATAGTAATCGCTTCATTATATTCAGAAAAATGGAGTTCGACATGAAAGAAATGTGTCATTGAGCTTGTAGTTTGTTAATATTTCAAGCGGGATAGATGACTTTGGAGGGTGTGGGTGGGTATGAGTTTGAGTTTTCTCTTCATTAAAACCCACACCCACACCCACACGATTTTTTCACCAAAGAAAGGGTTTTTTGAGAAAATAAGAATACGCTGCAAAGGTTGACGAAAGTAAATCGGGGTCGGAGAATCTAAATCTACAATTGGTTTCTCAAAATTCTGTACTCGATTTTTTCACTAAGGAACGAGTTTTTGAGAAAATAACGATTGTTAATAAAGTTTGGCCAAAAGGTAATCGAGGTCGGGGAATTAGAATCGGCAATCAGTTTCGTGAAGTTAACTAGCCTGGTTTCTCGATACCGGAAAGATATTTCAAGTAAATAATGATTTTTTATGAGGTTCGATCAACAGTCATCGAGCTTGAGGAATTAGAATCTGTAATGAGTTTGCCGAAATTTTGTACTTTATTTATCGTTCAAGTTACCACTACCCCGGAGACAGTTGGTCAAACTTAAAAAAATATGGTAACTATCTTGAAGGAGGCGATCGGTCAGTGAACAAGCCAAGGACACAATTTTGAGAAACTGACAACAGATTTTTATTACTCGAGCACGAAAGCTTTTGATCGAACTTTGTTACAAAATCAATATTTCCCAGAAATACCCTGCCTCTGTCAAGAAATCTGGGTGACGGATTTTCAGAAACTGATTTCAGATTAGGACTACAAATCCACAAACTACCGAGTGGCACTGCCTCAGCTGACTCTCATGGAAGGAAAGATTTTCTACATGAAGATGGGCATGAGACAGCGTGAAATTTGAAGATATGTCTCGTTCTCTTACATTTCCTCTATCCTATCCTATGAAATTTTGCTGGGTCACTTTTTTTAATTCCAGCAACTGCAGTTAACGTCGAACACCGGTTTCGGGTTAATAGTGGCGTTTTGATCAGCTCTAGATTTACTCGACCAAAGTATATGAAGTAAAAAAATGCATTGTTTGTGTGCTTAGGAAAAAAAATGATTCTTATTCATTTAGATCTCGTTATTAATTTTTTTATTTTCTTTTGTGAACCTGTTTATATATATTAAATGCACTTTCTTTATTCTTATGAAGTAAAAGAAGTAGTAATTGTTATACGTGATTGCAAAAACGCATAAAAAACATCTGTTTTGTTGAGCTCACGTCTTTTTTCGAAGAAAATAGTTAGTGGAATGTTAAGTCGAATATTGGCGGCTTCCCTTCTTCACTACCGACATTAGAAGCTGAAGACTACAATGTCAGACTTCTTTCTCAGAGTTCCTCACTAATACGAAAAGGAGCTCAATGGCATCCTCAACAAGACTTAGACTATTCCATGGAAGTCGAGAAAATGTCAAAGTCTTCCTAGAAACTTAAATGACTCGAGTGCGATTGTGGATGTTTGAAATGGTGCAGTTTTTTTTACTTAATTGCAGACAAAAAATCTATATTCAAAATGTCAAGGATGATTAGTACCGATTAATTGATTTTGCCATAGTCCTCAAATGATCAATATAAAAAGCATCAATTGAGAAAGCTTGAACTTTGCGAAAATAATCAATATCGTTGATTCTTAGTTTAGTGAGATATATAATACTGCAGTGAGACCTGCTGCTGTAGATATAATGGATATGTCTAACAGGCGTATTTTCTAGTAAATTCAAAGCTTAGAATGATAATAGGGTTAACTTTAAAAAAAGCGAAATATAAAAAAGCAACGAGCTTCTCAACAACGAAGTAAAAAAAATAGAGTGCCAGTGGAAACAATTTTCTTCGGAATGTACAGGTAAATAAGAGAAATCATTTCTCTAATGGTCCATTATCTTGGAAAACAACTATATTCTACAAGAGATTTTTCACTTCGTCTATTCTGCATCACGATTATAAAGTCAAAGAGCACATTTGAGTTTCACAACTCAGCTCCTAAGCGATTGCACTAAAAGCCTTGTATCCTAGGTCATTGTAGAGGTGAGACGGCGGTGACTTATAGATCAGCGAACGGGGCAATAGCGAGGCAAGTATTTTAGGAGACAGATAGGTGAGATTGTAGCGAAACGGTTTTTTTGCTGCACCGCGGATGTTAGATTCAGATTCCTCAACCCAGATTACCTTTTAGTCAAACTTTAAATGAAATTGTTATTTTCTTAAAAAACACATTCCTTAGTGGAAAAATCGAGTACCAAATTCTGAGAAACCGATTGCAGATTCGGATTCTCGATCATCTTTGGTCAAACTTTATAAAAGAATCGTTATACTGATGAAATAACCTTCACGTACCAAGAAATTATGGTGATGAATTTTCATATTGCAAGTTACTGAGTAACTTAACGGTAATTTCCTCACCTACATTAAATCGCTAGTTTACAAAAATTACTCTACATTTTAATCAGATGAATGCGCTAACTATTCTTTAGTATAAGATTATGAAGAAATTGACGATTTATCGAACACACTATCGACCACATCGAGTAATTGGATGGTTATGATATTTGAAAGGTACTTTAAGATACTTCACCGCACTTTAAGGTACTTTACGTACTTCAAAATACAAAAGTATCATGTTTTCCCCTTGTTCATTATTCTGTGAACATTTTTGAACATAGATCAAGCTATTTAAAAAAACTTGTAAGTAGTTCTACTGATGCATTCTTTTATAAATCTCATTTCATAAAAGACTTGGTTTAAGAGACAAAAATATTTTCTATGGCATAAACACAAAGACTTTATATTCTTCTTCTTAACAGGATGTGGATATTTGCTGACGAAAATGTGCTTACCCTCATATTCTCATGCATACTCACAGCCACACCTCATACTCCATTAACCCTTAAAAGCCGAATGTTCCTTCCAAGGGACATTTTGAAAACTTGAATAAAACACATAATGTTAGTGCAGGCACAATATTTTTTATTTTCCTCGACTCAAATGATCTGGTAGATCATAAAAAAAGAGTAAAGACAAATCTGAGTAATTTTTGGAGGAAACAATGCGCTTTTTAAGGCTGATAACTTTTTAAATATCAATTTTTTATTTTGAATCGTTTTTTTACTGATGAATACTGGAAGAAAATCTATTTTTTCAAGCGGTATCTTTGCAACATATCGTTACTCTATCGTATGAAACTATCCAACGATGTTTTGATTGTTCTGTTGATGAACTGCGATGTCATAAAGAGCATGTCCCTCAGAAGGGACATTCGGTCATAACGGTCCAAATTTTTCCTCCATTCTATAAAAGCGATATAAGGGGACAACAGCCCCCACATCTTTTCGACAATACATGCCAAAGAAACCTACAAAAAGAGGTTTCAAAGTTTGGACAAGGTGTGGGGTTTCAGCTTTTGTCTACAAAATGATACTACATCATGGTTCATCGAAAAGTATATCTAATGGATTAGCTTTACCTGATCGATCATTAAAACGTACTTCATCTCGATCAACAACAGCAAAAGCCTTGAATACTATTAACTCAATTGATACACAACGTGCAAATTTGCTTAAAGAGTTTGGCTCTTCAGGATTAGTTGTATTAGATTTAGTCAAAGATGTTCCTGTTGGATCTGCAATATTTATCGATAACTATTTTGCATCAACTAAATTAATAAAAAAATTAACTCAACTTGGTTATAGAATCACCTGCACGTTACGATCGAATCGAACAGAAAAATGTCCAATATCAACGGAACAAGAATTTTCTAAAAAGCAGAGAGGTTATTATGAATCTTTTATAACAAAGGACAAAACATGCATTGTAGTCGGATGGAAAGATTCAAAAAGAGTATTATTAGGTTCGAATCATGTAGGTATAGAGCCAAAAACAAAATTAAAACGTTGGGATAAAGAAAAAAGATGTCGAGTTGATCTTGTAGCACCTCAAATTATCAATAATTACAACAAATTCATGGGAGGCGTCGACAGCATGGACATGCTGATAGCCTTTCACCCTATTCCATTCAAATCTAAACGTTGGTATTCCAGAATTATATGGAGAATTCTAGATGTAATGATTATTAATTCTTGGATTATTAGGAATTCTCGTCTTTGTGGTGATGATAGTTATAGTTCTGCAAGCCATGGAAAATTTAGATTATTTCATTTCAAGTCTGAAATAGCAAAATTTCTATTAACAAAACCAAATCTTCAGATACTTCCAACAACTACTGTTAGTTCATCAATAGATGTTTATCAAAGTGATGAAGAAAATGAACCACCAACAAAAAAGTTACGTGAAGCCAGGTCCAGTGTAACAGATGTTGCACGGTATGATAATTCTAATCATTGGCCTTTATTTGTTTCTGCTCTCAATAATACTCGATGTAAAAACGACAACTGTTCTGGAAAAACATATTGGCAATGCTCCAAATGTAATGTGCACTTATGCCTTAATTCAAGTAAAAATTGTTTCAATGAATACCACACTCGTAAATAAGTTTCTACTATAGACATACAATTTCTCATTAGGACTGCGTATCTTAATTTTTTGTTAAAAAGTTATTAAAAAGATTACTTTCTATTAATTTATTATGTTTACAACAAAATAAATAAATATATTCACTTGAAAACGCTTTTGATATATACGTTCAGAATAATGATAAATTTGGACCGTTAAAACCGAATGTCCCTTTCAAGGGACATTTTATATCTCCGTAAGGAAAAAAAAAATTTTTTTTTCTACTATCAATATTTCTTATTGGAGTATTAGAGTTTCTATTTTAGCGATTATTTTGTTAAATTTGCAACGATAAAGCCTTCCGGCTTTTAAGGGTTAAGACATATAATGTTGAAAAATTTCAAGTATCATATATAAATGATGATGTTGATGAAGGAGATTTGTTCAATATTTGAATCTCTATTTTTGATTCGATCTAAAAAAGATCTCATCGTTTTTTATTCGATGCTTAGTACTAAATACGTACAGTAGTGTGTCAAAGTCCCGAACAAAATACTTTGATTTCGATCGAATACGAAAACGATGAATTTTAATATGGTTTCAGAACNAGATATATTTTGAATGCGATTTGTGAAATCAGAAGATGAACAAAACACAATTAGCTGTTTAAGAAAACAATATCATAGAAAAATAAATATTAACATCTTGTCTAATTTGTTATAGCTCATAACAGTTTCGAGATAAACCAGCACCGATATATATGATTTTAGTGATTCGAAAACGTTTTCGACATGTTCACAGCTATTCAATTAATTACCAACAAAGTCTTTTGTCCTTGTTATTGATTGTGCAATCACTGAGTGTGAGAGAATCTGTTTGACTAAGCAGCACTAAATATTCAGATTTGCACATAGTACCAAAAGTAACATATACATTAAATGCATTTCTATGACACCAACTAGGATGTGGATGTGGGTGTTCATTTCACTAGTACGCAGATCAGCATATTTTTGCACTCACAACCACCCACATTCACACCCAGACCGAAGACTTTTATATAGCTTTAGAAAAAAAAAAGGAAAAGGTATAGTTTATCTGCATTATATTTTAGAATTCAGATTATAGGAACACTTTCATACATATTTAGGAAAAAGGGGAAAACTCATGAGTTGTGTAATAGTACTTCGACTATCCATAAGAGTGAGCGAACGGAAGCTCTACACCCACGTCCAAATTTTCCCCCGAATATGACTTCTAAAAGTTTGGAATAGTATCTTTCCTACGTAACTTGAAGAACTCTGCTCAGTCATATATGTATATATAAATTTAACTTTTTCTACTGTATTTTTGTACTTTCTGCACCTGATCTACTCTAGTTCCTGAAATATCCAAACAAAAGAAGTTCTTTTGCACAAAGAAAATTGCTGGTTAAAAGTTAGCATGAAGTGTTTGGATTTGTTAGAAGTCAAGTGTACTCTTGAAGTAATTAATTATGAGAAGCTTACTTTTGTGCTACCAACTGTATGAATAGCCATTTCATAGTACTAGAAGTTTCTATTTTCTAAAGTTAACAAAAATCTTCGGATAAATAGAACTTTCGCTTATTTTGTAGGATAATAGTCTGTAGGAATTACAAAGGTTCGATATCTCTAAATTAGTAATTATTTTATTCATGGATGTGGTTTGAAACATTGAATTACGTTTTAAAAGCACTCTAAGCAGTCAACAAGAAATATTAATTGAAAGTATATCTTTTGACGTTTTCTGTCTTGGTTGATCAATTTAAAATTTTTTTTTTTGTGACAACAATTTTGATAACCTGCGTATTTATCTCTAATATTCCGATTATGTCTTTCATTCTGTGTTTATATTAATTTTAGTTGACTAGACACTTCAGCATACTTTTAAGTTTCAGCAAGCTTTGCTAATGCAAAAGAAAGATAACATTGCTCAGTATTGATTGAACACCCAGATTTACCGTCAGATAGTATAGTACGTATTTAGCATACGACTACTTTTAATTAATAAGAATTTCTATTTCGTTCCATTTTATTTCCTTAATCTTTTCTGTTGATATATACTTGCTATGTTGAACTACGGCAGAATCATGATTACCTAACCTCATGCTTTGTTCAGAAGAATCCTAGTTTTTGAGTCTTTCTCCTGGTGAAAAAATCTCCTGGTATTAGGAGCTGTTTTCTACGATTTTCTTCTACTTTGTACTATTTTTTTGTTCTTTTCTTCATCGTAACTCTTAGCGACACACTTAATCAGCAAGATAACGATCTACCATCACATTGTGATGTTAGATTCCACAAAGAACAAAAGAATTATCCGTTAATCAGCTGCGACTAATAATGAACTTACGTTCTTAACGGCAAAAATGTACCTCGTTTGCAAAAATTAGTTTAATTACCTTTTCTTATACCGATCTCAAATGCCTTTTGTGAATCTATTTTTAGTTACATGAAATTTTTTTGGGATAATAGTTGAAATGAAATCAAAAATGATTTTGTTTGTGCTGAATTAAAAATTAAGATGAATACTTATTTCAGTTGTACAAAATTTTGTGAATATGTTTTAAATAAACCAGATTTGTTGAAATAAATCTGAACATTAGAAAAATATTCTCATGTTGCAAATGTACCACGCACGACGAAATAAATAATTTATTTTGTTTTGATTAATATCAGTTCATAAGTAAAGTCTTTCCTTTTTTTATTCTGTTTGTAAATTTTTATGGGGGAATATAAAAAGGTTAAATAATGTAAAATATGTGTTATCATATTTCTTTTTCTTTTTTTTAATCACTTGTCAGCCAATTTTGCTATAATTGCATTATTAGAAAAAAATGACAAGCACTTATGCGAACGAAAACGCTAGCTTCTCTTTAGAAATACCAGTGAATGCTTTCTAATTTTTCATTGTGAAGATTTCCTGGTTTCTAAAAAAATCAATTTGATAATCATAGATACAACAAACAATAATGAACGTTCTTAATTTGAAATCTCATTTCAGAAAGATTTGAATGAAAGACTGTTCTTGATCAATTCGCTAGATTCTTGTTGTCAATTATTTAATTTCAATAGTAGACAATTGTACATTTCTTTATTGATTCGAATTTGTTACAATACGATAGATTACAATATTTATCGATTAGAAGTGTCAAGAATTAGTGAATATATTTTTTCCGGTACATGCCAGATTTGAATTTGTTAATGGGAACACTTGTGTTCTCTTTCGTGCATGCCATCGCCATGGTCGACGAAATGCTTTTCTCAGGCGTTCGTGCATTTCCGTTTGACCGGCGAATATCACGAATGGACATCCAAATATGACCAAATATTTCACATGAACTAAATAACGAATTTTCACAGCGTAAGTCCACGCTTGAAATCGAGCATTTTCGGAATAATCACTCATAAATAGGATAATACCCGATGGTATATAGACACCCATATAGAGAATGGCTACTATTAGAAGTTGACTGATCATGCGTAAATTCTTTTGCCACATTCCCATACGATTCTGTTGTTTCATTTGCGATTTCTGAATGAGAACACCAACGATGAGTACAATATTGGCACATGTAATAAGGACAATAAAGAGAATAAAAAAGATGAAATATTTCAAATTGAAAATAACTTTTGAAGCAGTCGAGTAGCATTGTGATCCACATTGAAAAGTATAATAAGAAGCTCTATACTTACATGAGTAACCAAATATGAGAGTAGTGTACCAAACTGTATGAATCAACAGAGACGTGGCCACCGGTATATAATAGAGGTAAATAGTGTGACTTCGGAGAAATGCTTAATGGAAAATAAGTAAGTACCGTTCGATTGGTGTGAATGATATTAGGAATAGATCGGTGAGAGTCAATTCTATAGTCATACAATACGCAAATACGACAAAAGAGCGGCGTTCGAAAAGATACAGCCATTATCCAAAGATAGTAGAAACGAAAAGGAAAGTCGCCAATTACCTAAACTAGAATGAATTTCTTGAACTAAATTGAATATTGATTTCTCTCTGCGATTCTTGAGTTATAAAATCTAGAAATACGTTACTTTCAATGAATACAACCTTAATGCGCGATGATGATGAAGCTGAACATCTCACTGTGAGATCCTTGACCAAGAAGTATAAAGAAACTCATTGCATTGATCAACTTACGGCTTTTAGAAGACCTTGATAACGTGATGAAAAACCATCAGAAAGATATGTGAAAGAGGCTGCCGCTTGTCTATGCCTTCAAAAAGAAATCTACAATCCTAGCATGCCTATTTATCTTGGTACGAGATCCACAAAATACAGAGAGTTAAAGTACTTTGGCTGACCGAGAAATGACTGCTGATTGATATCCCAATATGAAATAGAGAAAATTAACTGCAAAAAAAAACTAATAAACTTCAATATACTTTAGCCTTTCAATTCTTTATGTATTCTGTTATGACATACAATCTTTACATAACTTTTTAACTGATAATCTTCAATAGCGTTTTTGTCGTCATGCTTTTCATTTCTGCTGTTTTTCTAGTAGGTATAGTTCAATAATGTGTTTCCGCTGTCTTTTTATTCTGTAGAATTGGTCGAGTAACTTGAGTTCGAAGGATTTTCGTCTATATTTTCAACCGTTTTCTCGTACTATTTTTCTGTAGACTAGCAGATTTTGACTTGAGTTATATTTTTGATTCCTGAGTAACGCATTGATTTCGCTCATAATAGTATAGCTCAAGTCAAGACTTTACATTTGTGATCAAGGTAATCTGAGAAAGTGTTCGGAAGTATTGAAAAAGTAGATAAAAGCAACTTGGTCATGACTACTTTTCCGTCTCTGGCAGGATTCTTCGAAAAAAAATAAAGCTTCATATTTGATATCTTCGCAATAGAACTCATGTTATATATAACTTGACGAACAGTAGAGTATATGAAAAATAAAAGTTTTCATTTTCTTACGTGTATATGATCGCTATAAAACTGTTCTTGAAAAGCGAAACTCTATATCGTGCACTGCTGTTTCTCTGATAGGAATTCAACCAAAACTTAAACGAGCAAGCGATGTCTTTGATTAAAAGAGAGTAAATCTTGAGTTCTCAATGTCTACATTGGAAAATATAAAAGAATAAGACTTACATGAATAAGATTGACGATCAGTAAACATATGAAAAATCGATTTGTAGGCTTGACGCGCAGTTGACATATACAAATAAAATTAATGAAAAAAAAAAGAAAGCAACACAAGGATGGACCGATGAGACTTATGAAAATATTGAATACAATTGCAGGATTGTTAACAAGTGTAACTGAAACGACTGGGCCTGCCTTGATTGGTGAAGGAGTAATACTTGAACCATTTGTAATAGTATTCATGCTTAATTGTTCTGTTTCCCAGTATAAGTGAGTCTAGAAATGAGTTTTTCTTCAGAAAATTAAATAGTTTTGCATCTGAAAATTGTCAAGAACGCTCATTTGCTCATGACAGCATATCAATTGAGAATCTTACACATCAGTAAAATTATGAAATTAAGCGTCTGTATATGGCATTCTAAGTGCGTCATCTTACCAGATCTTTGTAAAAACAAAGATTAAAACTGGATTGTAATGACAATATTATATTCTAATTTTAATAAGATTTTTCAGCCTTAAAATACAGATTTCATTTGATTTAATCATGTTTAATCTATTTTAATCAATTACTAAAATTAAATCAATTATAATTGATTTTAAAAGATCGATTTTAATTGATTAAAGTTTTTTAACCCAATTAAAATGTATTAAAAAAAATTATATCAAATGAAATCTGTCTTTTAATACTAAAAAATCTTATTAGAATCATATTATAATTGTACCATTATTATCGATTTTTAATTTTTTCTTATAACCATTTTATTATATGAGAAAGCTTCAGAGCCAAGAATATACAGATTATTCCAGATAATTATAAGAAAAAAAATTGTGTTACATTCTAGTCTTATTTCTACATCTCTTATATCAGTTCTTGAAGGAATCAATCTGTAGGTAGGTACGTATGCATTCAATTACGCTCTGTCCAAAAATGAATTCACCATTTTCTCGCAATTGCTTCTTTGACAACAAAGTAGTTTACAAAAAAATATTATTTCTCATTTGCTGCTCATTATTGAATATACAACCAAATACATTTATTACATGGTCCTTTACAGAGAATTTAGTAAGCACTTTGACGATGCATTGCCTTATTATCTATTCAATTTTATCGTTTAAACGTAAGATCAAAAGTTCTCATATGCTGTTGTAGATGATATGGCGAAAAATAAGTTGAAGTCTAAAAGAAAATTAAAAAAAAGATAGGGAAGAACTACTGAGAGAGTCATTTTTGTCACACATCCATTAAGTGAAGAACAGGGCAAATTTTCGAAACTGATGTTTTCGAGATGGCTTAGATGTGAGATATTTTCTGTATATATTTAACGTCGCTAAAGCTAGAAAAGGACAAAAAAAAACGTTGCTTACAATACATAGACGTAAATGTGATGAATGACTTTTTACGATCTCGACGAAAATGGCGTCATAGCTTCTGTTGGTTCTTAGCTGAGGGGAAATTTTAGGACACTTTTTGTTTCTTAGTCTTAACTAGGGTGATCCAAAAGTTCTTGGAACTATTAAAACATTATGCAAGAAAAACAGTTTCGATTTATCAATCTACTATAAGTATTAAAAATTATCAACATGACATTCGATACAAATGTATATCCTTTAGATCTACTGTTGTAGCTACTTTTTCTGTATTTGACAAGTCTGAAATTATGCATGTTAGTTACTATAATACGTAAACTTGTTGCACCAGCATGATTATCTGTTCGACTTTTAAAGTACTTGAAGATCCAAAGGGCAAAAAATAAGATGCAATGAATGCTGAAGATGAGTAATACGTTTTGTTTCTTTACAATAGTCAATGACACGATATTTTACATGTAATTTTTCATGCCATAATGAAATTTGATAAAAGTTGTTTCTATGTTAGTCTTATCTTTGGCAACTTGTTGACTAGTAGTTTTAACCAGTCGCTACGAGAATGATCAGTATTCACAGATACCCCCGGATTCCATGAGATGAATAAATTAACCAGTTGTCACGATGAAGATCATGGCCATTGCTTTTTTTTCGCATCTTTGTCTTCTAATGATTGTTGAAAGAGTTTCATTTTACTGCTCACCATTCTTCTGACTCCATTTGACGACAGTATATGTGCATTTTATTACCAGTTTTACTATCACGTAATCACTTAATTTCAAATTTGTCATATACAGCAGAAGACGCTTTAAAAGCAGATTTAGAGGATGTAAATTTGTATCGAGCAGCACGTTGATGATTTTCAGCGTTGGTGGTAGATTGATGCATCGAAACTATTTTTCTTGTAGAGTGTTTTAACAGTTCCACGAACTTCTGGATCATCCTATGTAGTAGTAATCAAATTTTAAAATTAGATTATTTCCCTTGAGCAAATAGCATGCTCTGACTCTGATAATTCATGATAAAATTAAACAAGTAATGCAATGTGAACATCGCTAATCCTCTACCGAAAAGATATGATCACAGTAAATGTGATGTACACGATCATATGACATGAGACATCTGGATCGAATAGAGCTGTTTTAGATGCTTTGTATAGTGAAAACACGGTGTAGGTGTCGATCTGTGTTGTAGTTTTATGTTCATCCAAATTCACACCCGTACCTTTAATTAGTATTTATTAAAAGTTACTCTTCTTTATTAATGGTTGTGTATCTTTATTTAAAAAGTAGAATAAAAGAAAGTAATGACTAACTTAACAGCTAAGATACAATTAAATTAATTATTTAAGATGATAATATAATAATCATTTGAATAAAAAATAGTGACGTGACATTTCGACAATCGAAGTTGTCTTGTTCGAACGTTGTATAAGAATGTATAGATTTTTCTATTTGAGTTACTTTTTATTTTCCTTTTCTTTTTCGATGTCATATTAAACATATGATAGTGGAACGACAAGATAGTGAAAATGCTAAAGAAGATAGACTATTTGTCTTCTTCCTTCGCTACACTATCATGTGTTTAATATTATATCGAAAAAGAAAATAAAAATAAGTTCAAATAAAAAATCTATACATTCCTATATAACATCCGCAAAAGACAACTTCGATTGTCGAAACTGTATGTCAATATTTTTCATTCAAATAAGTATTATATTATTATCTTAACTAATTAACTTCATTGTATCTTAGCTGTTAAGTTGGTTATTTTAATAAATACTAATTATATAATAAATGCATAATTATGTAATTGTACGACTTATATGTAAGTGTGCTGAAATTGACACCATCTATACAATAAATAGCAACAATGTATCTTTGGTCTTCAGCTCTTCTTGGTTTTCAAAACAATGAAGTTAACTACTCTCAATCAGATTTGGCAATCGAATGAAATTAATTTTATTACCATTGATACATGAAAAACTTTTTCAATAACAGAACGTTTATTATTGACTAAAATCGCATTATAAGAAAGAAAAATAG